CAGATGCCCATGGTGGTTGCCAGTGTGCCTGTTGCTCCTAATCTCAAAACCTGTTGTGTCATCTTGGACTATTCACTCCCCTTCTCTGGGCCTCAGTTTTCTCATTTATGAGATGAGGATATTAGCCTAGAATCATCTCCAGGTCCCCACCCAGCTTGAAGAATCTGTGATTTTCTGATTCTATAGCTCTGCAGCTCTTATATTGTGACCCTGGGCCCAGAGCTTTCCAAGAAGATCCTGCCCCCAACTTTTTAGTGGAGGAGAGTAGAATAGCTGCTTGGGCTTTTCTGGGGTTGGGGTGGAAGTTGAAGGGAGGGGTGAGAAATAAAGGCTCAAGGAGGAAGTGAAGTTCCTGCTGGGGCTGTAGGAAGACATCTCGAAGCTTTGCCACAATTAGCCAGAGGAGACAGGAAGGTGAGCCAGGGTGCGAGGTCTGGCCAGGTGCATGAGTGTGTTGTTATCAGCTGTGACTCACCCAACATGGGCTATCTCTGGGAAAATCATTTTAATAACTGCGAGGAAATGGAATTAAGGATACTGGCCGATGGCTGGCCAGGAGGATGACCAGGCGGGAGTTAATTTGTCTCTGCTAACATAGCCTACTGATTATCTCCACTCTGCAAAGTGTTTCCATTGAGGGGCCTCTGGGAGATGTGTCTTCTGGGGGTTTTGTGAGGCCAGAGGGGCAGGGAGCAGAGCTGGAGGTGTCCAGGGTCAGGGATGGCCCAGGGAGCCATGACTAGCTGATGGAAGCTGGGGATAAGCCAGGCACGTCTTATCACAGTGACCATGGCCTGACCCAGGGGTCCGGGGCCACCCGAGAGCCTTGCTCTGGGGGAGGTCCTGCTGTTGCTGGGCTCGGGCTCCTCAGAGAGTGTCATGGAAGGGACTGTCACACATGGGCTTCCTCATTATCCCTCAGGTCCACAAACCACAGCTGGTTTCGATTCTCCACATTCATGGAGGAAACTATGGCCTGGAGCATTCAAAGTAATGAATGATACAAACCCCCTCATCATTCTGAGAAATCCCCTTCTCAGAGGCTGTCTAGATTTAGTTTTTAAAAACCCACTCTTCGAGATTTAAGGACTTGCAGCGTGGGCGGGGGTACCCAGGCAGGCTGGTTGGCTGGGGCAGGCTGGGACTGACAAGGCGCCATCACGCGTAGACACGCACGGGACATGTGCAGATGGAGGCTGGTTGGTTGCCAGGCTCCTACTTTCCCTTTCTGCTCTCCGCACCAGGCCGCACCCGTGCTGCTGTGTGCCGCACTGGGGGAAGGGTCCTAACGAGCCTCCTGCCTCTGCCTGGCCCCCGTCCTTCCACTCCCCTTTCTTTAGGCATGACTGCAAATCTGACCCTGTCACACCCATTTAAAACTCTGCAATGGCTCCTAGTAACCGACAGGCTGACGTTGCAACTCCTAGCCCAGGGGAGGCTCCTGGTTCTGGTCTCCCACCTCCCACTCACTCCTGAAGACCCAGCTCCGTTCTGCCTGGGACCCTATCCTCACGCTCTGCTGGGTTGAGGGGCATGAGCCCCGTGTCCAGCACTTGTGAAGCCCCCATCAGCTTCCACTCCCCTGCTTCCCAGCTTTCCCTCCGTATTCCCTTTGCCAGAGCGAGGCTGCTCCAGCCCTTCTCCCCGCCCCACCCAGGGGCAGGCAAGCTTGCTCACTGCTCACTGCCCACACGACAGGCTAAGTCCCCTTACCCGAAATGCCTGGGACCAGAAGTGTTTCAGATTTGGGATTTTGCTTTTCTGGATTTTGGAATATTTGCATATACATAATGAGATATCTTGGGGATGGGACCCAAGTCTAAACACAAATTCATTTACGTTTCCCAGACACATGGCCCAAAGCAATTTTATGCAATATTGTCAATAATTTTGCGCATGAAACGAAGTTTTGACAGCGACCCATCACAGGAGGTCAAGATGTGGAATTTTCTACTTGTTGCCCCATGAAGGTGCTCAAAACGTTTCAGATTTTGGAGCATGTCAGATGTCAGGTTTTCAGGTTACGGCTGCTCACCCTGTGGTCTGCGTGGTCCCTCTCATTGTTTTCTCCCTGTTTGCGGGTATCGCTCCTTCTCTGACTTCCAGCTCCTCGAGCCTTGATTTCTTTTCTTTATTTCCATATCCCAAGGGCATGGGGTAGCGTGGCATCTCAGCACATATTCGGACTTGGGTGGGAAATATCTGAGGCCCTGGTGGTGGAACTGTCGGGGGGAGGGCCAGGGCTGAGCCGGAGTGGGTCGTGCGCGTGCTCGCGCCAGCGTGTGCACGAGCGTGTGCTCACAGACACAGCGCGACTCGGGCAGCCCTCGCCACATCCTCCCGAGGGCGGGCCGTCAGAAGCTGCTGCGGCCTGGCCTCCGAGCCGGCCTGGCCTCCGAGCCGGCCTGGCCTCCGAGCCGGCCTGCCCAAGCTGGCCTGGCAGGACTCGGGGAAGGGCCTCAGCCGCTGTGGGGCCGTCTGCTCTCCAGTGAGTTGCTGCATGGCCACAGGCGAGTCACTGAAATTCCCTGAAGAATCCAGATAGAGGGAGCTTCGCGGGCAAAGACAAAGGCTCAGAGAGCAGAGCCAAGGTCAAGAACACGTCCACACGCTCATGAGTGTTTTCACTTTCTACTGCTCCGTTCCATTACTGTTGTTGCTAATAATGGTAATGTTAAATAATCAGGGGGAAAAAGCTCTTCCAGCCTTCTAATTAAATCAGAATTTCTGGCAGTGGTGGGTGGTGGGAACAAGGCTTGATATTATATTTTAAAAAATTAAATAAATCAATCAATTAAAAGTAAAATAAATAAACTAGTGAGAATAAAGAAAAGCTCTCAGGTGGCTGAACCTGCATCCGAGGTTGAGAACCCAGATTCGGCCCATCACGTCGGCTAGGGTGGGCAGGGGCCATAGTGCCCTTTCCAGGGGAAGCAGCTGTCCTGATTCAATGACTGCAGGCTGGCCAGGCAGCTGTCCGCCTGCCCACAGGGGGAGCACGTGCTGCGGGCCACTGGTCAATCCTGGAAGGTACAGCACTCAGGGATGGAGGGACTGCGACGTCACTTACAGCAGGAGGAAACTGGGTTACATCGAAGGAAGTGGGGGAAGCACGTGGCTCCTAATGCGGATCTGCCCTTTGTGATGAGGGGCAGCTGGAAGCCCACTGCATCGGGGCTGTGACACTGTCACTGTTGTCTTACCTGGAATTGCGGGGCTCTGGGGGCAGCAGCCCCACTCCCAGAGCCCGAGTGGAAAGATTTAGAAGCTGTGTGGGCTGGCTGCGGACGCCCAGGGTGGCAGGCCAGGAACTAGCTGGCTGCTCACAGACTGTGGACCCTGGGTGGGTCTCTCTTCCTACCCGGGCCATAGTCCCCTTCCTTTCGGTGACCTAAGGGAGTGTGGTGAGCCAGTCTGCAGGCCAGCCTGGCGCTGTGTCTGGCAGGTGGGGGGCAGTGGGGTGTGAGGGTGCCAGCGTCCACACTGGGGGCTCACTGTTCTGCACGTTGGGGAGGGAACACAGACCCCAGCCCTCCCAGCCACTGCTCGGGCTGCAGCCTCCGGGGCCAGGACCAGGGTAGAGAGAGCAGAAGAGCGGGCGGGCAGGGCAGGGGAGAGGGGCCCCATGAATGAAAGCTGCTGGGGGTTGGGAACAAGGGAGGGGGCGGGAGGGCACAGAGGGAGAAAAGTGCAGCTTCATCTGCTTGTTTGTGTTTCCTGTATTTAAGATGCCGACTTCTAGCATATTTTTAAATCCATCAGACATGAAAGGCTGATTTAAATAGCCCCGCAGTGTGAAGCTGGTAATTTCGCTTGCCACAATAGGGAAGCTGGCCAGGACCCAGCGCCTCCCCCCGCGCCAGGGAAGCTGCGAGCTCCAATCTCTCCCTGCGAGGCCTCCAGGCAGGTGTTCCACTCCCTGATTGGGGGTGGCATTGCTGAGAGGAGGAGGGGCAGGGATGGTAGGGGAAGCGGAAGAAGAAGAGGGCTGAGAGGAAAGTGAAGGAGAAAGGTTAAAGGAGGGAAACTGAACTAGAGAAATTATTTCCCCGGGCCAGGGAGGCTTCCTAGATCAGCTGGTCCCGACCCCTGCACACCTGCACCCTCTCACTCCACTCTCGGGCCTGGTTAGGGTGGAGACGGGGCCTTGTAAGCCACTGTGCTCGGTTGCTCACCGCATTCCTGAGGGCAGAGTGTTGGGGGGCTCACTACCTGTGAGTCGGCCATTCCCTGCCTGGGTGGTGCTGAGATAAACTTCTCTTGGGATAAATGGGAAGCCTCATGCTCTGCCAGCACCAGTTCTAATCCTGCCCTCTCGAGTCACTCAGAACAACCTTATGCCAAAGTTGGCCCTTCGTCCCTCCCGGGTGGGGTCCCTCCTCTACGCCAATCCTCCGATGCTGCTTTCTAATCTTTACCGTACCTATCGCAATGTAAATCTCTGTAAGACCCAAATATTCCTGGGTGCTAATTAATGTATCTCCTGCTATAGTCCACGCTACAAAATTCCAGGAACAACAAAAGACTTCTGTTGTTTTTGTTGTGGTTGTCATCCCGCACACTCTTTGACTATGGAATCTGGGGCCAGGCGCTCCTGCTGCCATCCAGGACAGGGAGGTCCATCGGCCGGAAGCTGGCGTGCAGGTAGTGAAACGGCTCACAGAGAGAAGCGTGTTCCGGGCGGGGCGGAAGTGGGGCACCGGGCACCCCCTCCCTGCAGGGCCCACGGCGGTCGGTGGGGCGGGGCCTCAGTGGAAGGACACCAGGAGTGCTGCAGTGGTACCTGTATGGCATGTTAATTTATGCTTCTGGAGTTCTAGGTGTTTCTTCCACTCAAGCTCCTTGAAGTCCCAAGGGCTGTGCGTAAGTGAGCTCACCTCCTTCTCAACTCCCTCATCTTGCTATTACCCGAGACAAGCACTAAGCGTCTTACAGCCTCAGCTGTTGGGGAGCAAAGGTAATCAAATCCTTTATTTATTCACGGAACATAAATGCAAAAGTGGGTTTTTAAAATTTTTTAGTATGGTAAAATGTATATGACTTAAAATTTACAATTGTAACCATTTTTAAATGTACGATTCAATGGCATTGAGTACATTCACAGTATTGTGTCAGCCCTCACCACCGCCCATCTCCAGAACTTGTTCATCATCCAACGTGACAGTGTTTTACAAACCCTGTGCATGAAGCCGGGTCAAGCAGCAATGTGCTGTCTGCACCCACCCCCACTAGTGTCTGTTATGTACAGGCCTGGTAAATGCACAGGTGAGTGAATCAATAGCAGAACCCTGCTGGTGGGGACCTGTAGTCTGCTGCTGCCCCTTCCAACATCAAAGCACAAAGTCTGTAGCTTGAAGGAACAAGTTTCACTTATCCTTCCTTCCTCAGGAAATGGGAGTGCTCTTACGGTGACCCCAGCCTCTCCAGTTGCCAAGAAGTGTGGGATTTTCTCACGCTTGCCTATTTTATTTTGTTTTGGTCTCTTGCATGGGAAGGCAGATGATGATGTGATAACTACCCTTTGTTTAGAGCCTTGCAGCTGACTCAGCTCTTTCCACGGGAGTTCTCAGCTGACCTTCACACTCGCTGTGAGGCATAGGGCAGACAGACGGTTTTACAGACTTGGAATCAGGCTCAGAGCATCAGTCAGTTGCAGGTTTTGCCCCGGCCTACACAGTTTGTGTGCAGGTTCTTATTCCGAGCAGGACTTTGGGGCTAGGGGAGCTGTAGGTAGGACAGCCGGGTAAGGATATGAACAGCCGGTTCCACACCAGGAAGGAGCACAGCGCAGGGAAGCATCTTTTATGCACAGAGGCCTGGAGCCCCAGTCAAATTGAGCTGTTAAGCTGCCTGCAGGTTATGGATTACTAGCGACAGCTGGGGAGGCCGCGGGGCGCTCAGAGGGATGCTTTGATGGGCATCACACTGTCTAAAAGGCAATTGAATTGCAGCGGCTGGAACACGCCAGCACTTTGTTTTAAAAGCCTGAAGCAGCACCTCATCTGAACCAGGAGGCAAGCCCTGTGGGTCTGCCCAGGCCGCAGGGGCCCAGTTGTCCAGCCTTTGGGACCTGGGGCTCCAATGGCGGTGCTCACCAGGGGTGTGCCTTGTTTTTGAGAAATGATCCTCTTCTCTCAACCACTCCAACAAGGCAAACATTGCTTGCCAGACACCGTGCCAAACACGACTGCAGAGATGAATGCTGCACCCTGTATGTTTAGCTCACTGGAGTCCTGTGGGCACTGTGTGCGAATAAGCAGCACACAGAGTGGTGCCGTTGGCATCACTGCAGAGCAGCCCTGGGAGCTGCTGATGTTGGGCCACACCTGACACTCTGCCCCTGACCTGCGGCTACACATGCCCAGTGAATCCCAGTTCCTGTCACACTTCCCAATTCATTTTGAGCTCCACATGTTTCCATTAAAAAAAAAAATCTCATTCTCGCTGTCATGTTCTTTAGGCACTTTTGCTTAGCATGGCAGCGTTGTTTATGGGGTGGTATTTATTTGTATAGGTCAGCTGGATCTAGTCATAATTCATTATGATAGTATGGGCCTTGCTGGTCCTAGGAGTCCTCATTTGTTGGGCAAGGAGTGTCCTGGTGCTATGATAAGGGCCTGCAAGGACCACTTCTGAATCAGAGCCAAAGGCCTGGTGAAGTCCTAGCTCCATGTTGGGTCAGTTCTTGGCCCTGCCCCAGCCCTAGCCCAGGATGACAAGTGACACATCTTGCTCACGCTCTTCAGTTTCCACATTGATTTCAGGTCCTCTGCTAAGTACCATATGGTTTCACAATCTCCATAAATTCCAACAATGTTCTCCCTAAGTAGGGCACTTTGATTAAATTGGCTCCACTGAATTGTATAAAAGGTGGAATTATGATGTTCTTTGTCACTGTTATCGCTGGTAATTAATATGTCTATTAATAGAAACATCAACAGAGTTAGGAAGGGGGGGTGGAGGTTTAGAAAGTGCTATCCTGTTATCCACCCTCCCCCTGCCAGATAAGAAGGGAGGGAATAACACATAAAGTAAAATCCTATGGATCTTACTAAACTCGGCTGGAATTTCGCAGCCTTTCTGTTCCCTGATGAAGGGAGGAGAGGTGGCAGCATCCCCAGGGCCAACCCCAGGAACCAGGTGGGGGCTCTGGTCACAGCCAGCAGCAAAAGGCCACTTAATGCTTGGCGTTTGGATACATGTGCGCTATAATTTCATTACTTTGAAGTACTTAAGCTATCTTTAAAAAAAAAGCTTCAGATTTGCCCTGATTTGCAGTCTTTCCCCTGAAATCACTTTTGAGTGAAGCTTTTCAGGAGGTTTGGGTTCTTGGCAGAACAGAGAGCATTGCCTGAGGATGTCTAGACTCACTCCCCAAGGAACTGGACACCTCTTTGGGCAGCTCATCCCCAGTGGGGCATCCAGAAGATAGAGGGGAGGGTTTCTCAGATCTAAGGGCCTCCTTCCTCTTACAACCCAGAAGAAAGGAGATACTTTAGGGAGGAGGTCAGAGGTAGAGCTACAGAATGAGAGCAGAGTTCTAGCTGTGTTGTGTGGGGTGTGAAGAAGAAAGCAGGGAGGGCAAGCAGAGCTTGATTTATGCACAGAGCAGATGACTACCACCATGACATCTCAGAGACTTTAAATCATTTTAAATATGTTTAAAGACCTAAAGGAAACCATATCTGAAGAACTAAAGGAAAGTATGAGAACAATGTCTAACCAAATAGAGAATCAGTGAAGAAAGGCAATTATAATAAGGAACCAGATAGAAATTCTGGAACTGAAAAGTACACTAATGGAATTGAAAAATTCACCAGTGGGTCCCCAAAGCATATTTAAGCAGGCAGAAGAAGGAATCAGTGAACTTGAAGATACATCAATTGAGATTACCCAGTCTGAGGAACACACACAAAAGAAATAATGATAATGAACAGAAACCTGTGGGACACCATTACACATGCCAAATGCACATAATGGGAGTCCCAGAAGGAAAGAAGAGGGAGAAAGCAGGAGAAAGAATATTTGAAAAATCAATGACAAAAAAGTCCCAAACTTGATGAAAACTATTAACCTATATATCTAAGAAGCTCAACAAAGTCCAAGTAGGATAAACTCAAAGATTCATAGCTGGACACATCAAAATCAAACTGTTGGAAGACAAAGACAAAGAATTTTGAAAGCACAAAGAGAGAAGCAATTCAACAGATACAAGGGATCCTCAGTAAGATAAACAGCTGATTTCACATTAGAAACCATGAAAGCCAGTGAGGCAGAACAGAAAATGTGCTGAAAGAAAAAACCTGTCAACCAAAAATTCTATACCTGGCAAAGCTATCCTTTAAAAATGAAGGATAAATTAAGACATATCCAAGATAAACAGAAATGGAGAGAGTTTGTCTCTAATGGGCCTGCCTTAAAAGAAATACTAAAGGAAGTACTGCAGGCTGAAATGAAAAGGCCTAAGATAGTAATCTGAATTAACATGAAGAAATAAAGAGCACTGGTAAAGGTAATTACATAGCTAAATATAAAAGACAGTATAAATTTATTTTTTTGTTTGTAACTCCTTGTTTTTTCTATCTGATTTAAAGGACAACTGCATAAAGCAATAATTATAAATCTATGTTGATGGAAATAAAGTGTATAAAGATGTAATTTGTGACAATAATAACATCAGGGAAGGGAGAATGGAACAACACAGGAGCAATGTTTTTGTATACTATTTAAGTTAAGTTGGTATTACTCCAAACAGATTGTTATAAGTTGAGATATTAATGGCAATCCCCAGGGCAACCACCAAAAATAATATATATATATGTTAAATGAAATAAGAGAATTAAAATGGTACACTATAAAATATTTAACATAAAAGAAGGCAGTAATGAAAGAATACAAGAATTAAAAAGGCATGCTGTACAGAAAAGAAATAGCAAAACAGCACACAAATCCTACTTTATTAATTACATTAAATGTAAACAAGTTAAACTTTCTAATTAAAAGAGATTGGAAGAATATATTAAAAACATGATCCAACTATATGCTGTCTACAAGAGACTCACTTTAGATTCAAAGGCACACATAGGTTGACAATAAAAGGATGCAAATGATATACAATGCAAACAGCAACATGAAGAGAGAGAAGAGAGCCAGAGTGGCTATACTAATATCAGACAAAATAGACTTTAAGATAAAAATTATTACCAAAGACAAAGGACATTTTATAGTGATAAAAGGTCCATAAATCCAGAAGACATCACAATTATAAATATATTTGAACCTAGCAAAAAAGCCTCCAAATACATGAAGCAAACCGAAGTCCCTGAGGGGAGTAGAGGAGAAGGCAGCTCTGTCCTAAACACTTTATCCTCATGACTCATTATGTGCTTAATATCCTTAATACCACTAGGGACTCACTCCTGTGGGTTAAAGGCTTGCCTCCCTTAGAATTCTCTGTTAAGGTATAAATATGGCCCCAGAACAACCATTTGTATTAATACTTTAGTCAAAATTGGTTTAAGCTCCTTTGAAGCAGTGACTAATAGTGACAGAGACAAAGGGTTGAGCCATTTTCAGTAGTGTAAAGGTATGACCTATACTGGCCCAGGAGGAGAGCACAGAGGAGGGCAGTCCAACCATTGAGGGAGGTATGAAGAACAGCGAAGGAGTATGGGATGAGGACAGGGGAGAGAATCACAGGGGAACAGAAAAGACCCCACCAGGACTGTGAAGGGAAACAAATGCCAGACAAGAGGCAAAGCAACTGGGGCATTGCTTGGGGAAGAGGGCTCCAGATTTGGCAGCTCAGTGATGAGGGCAGCAGCAGGCCCCAGAAGCAGCAGGAGTCAGAGCAGGGAGCAGGTGTGGGGCCAGGGACCGCAATGAGCACAGCCACTCACAGGGAACCCTCAGGAGCTGGCACCACATCTGAGCTGCCGTCCGAGTCCTGGAGAACCACAGAGATGGGAGGAGAGTGGACGGGGGTTGAGACCCAGCAACGGGTGCTGGAAGGAAACACGCTGATAAGGAAACCAGGACAAAGGACAGCAAGGCCAAGAGGCAAAGCCAGAAATGAGCTCAGAACCCAGGCAAATGGGCCGGACAAACAGATGCACAAACCAGGTCATGTTTGCCAAGGTGCCCAGTTCTGGGAAGACGCTTAGTAGATGTTATTTGTTTCTAAACAAACTGAAAGAAGGTGAGTGGCCTGGGCAGCAACTCAATGTCAACAACAAAAATGACCCCTACTTATTAACACCTCTTACAGGCTGGCACTGCACTACATGCTTTGTTTGCATTGCCCCGTTTAATACTTACAACGTCCTTCTGAGGTGGACATGAAACCTCCCTCTACAGATGAATGTGAAACCTGGTTAAGTGACTTGCTCAAGGTCTTCGCAGCAATGTCAATGGGACAGAGCCAGTTTCTGTGCCAGCTCGGTGCCAGGGTGACAGCCACTGGGGGAGCTCTGTTCAACATAGTGGCTTAAAAGGAAGAGGAGGGGCCCTCAGCAGTCCCCGTCCTCTACTCTTTTTAAAAGTGGGGTTGGAGAAGGAAGAGCAGAGGCCCAGAGGCCCCCCTGCCCCCTCTCTCTGCCTGGCCCTGTGAAGAATAACCGCATGCCAGAAGGCCAGGCACCAGGCTCCTGCCACCCTGTCCTAAACCCTGCATGTCTAATTTTCAGGTAAAATGCAGCCCTAGGCCAGGGACAAGGTGCTGAGGATGAAGGTATCTGTGGGATCAGGGAGCCCCAGGGATGGCCAATTGCCATCCCTATTTTTTTGTCAGAAGCAGGAGAGCTGGTTTACTTTCGGCATGGCCATGCCTACCTTCCTCCTTGCCCCTCACACAGACATGGAGATCAGAGGGCCACCCCTGGGTGACCCGCATATCCCCTCTTCTTGCGACATTCTACTAATGAGCCCGCCACCACTGTGCTTCCCCAGGGGAAAGGAGTTTCCTGTGAGTTCTTCTCAACTGTGGACTGGGGTCCAGGGCCAGCCTATGTGAGAAAGTGAGTCTGTCTCATAGGCACGTGAGTAGAAGAGCCCAAAGCCTCTGGTAGCCCATCCATTCACTGCACTGAGGTGGGAGCCCAGGCGGGAGCTGGCTTGCCAAGGCCTCTGCACATGTCTTGGTGCCCAGTCCTCGTTTCTGTTCAGCACCCTCCATGGGCCCCTGGTCCCTGCAGGCGCTGGATGAGAGGGAGAAGTCTGCAATCGGAGGCGGGCACTGGCCTGGTGACCTCTGGGGACTCTCACTCTTGTCAAGGCCTGGGAAGAGGAAACTCCTGGGGACTTTGGCCAATGGCTTCTCCCCTGTTGTTTGGCTATGTGTGGGCTGTCTTCAACTATCTTCTTGGAGGCCAGTGGACACTTCCTGCCCCCCTCCCTCTCTGTGTACCCCACTTGGGTGTGGACCCCCACTTTCCTGTGGAGGGCTGGGTCTGCAGCACTAGAATTTATAATTAGCAGTGACCTTTGTGATATTTTCACCCACTTTCCCGCCCGGGGCAAGGATGCCCTGACAGCCGGTCAGTGATGCCGGAACTCGCTGGGCACGCACCCCGGGGCCCAGTCCTTCCCTCCACCCAAGCGCCTGGCGGGTGCAGTCCGTGTGCCAAGCAGCCAGCAGCTGCTGCCCAGCACCAGCACAGCCACACTTGTGTTTTTAAACACTGTCCTCCAGAATAAAGTAAAATAAAACAAAATGAAGTCAGCAACTGTGGACCTCGCGTTGGGCCTCACTGCCTGCATGTCAATCTGCCCTGTCAATCATCATGTACAATTTTTCAAAGAGCTATTTTGAGAAACATTTAGAAAATGGCTTTTCTACAGCCATCTATACCTTATTTATACCCTCCAGAAATGGTCGCTCTGTTTAGCAGCAGATGGTTTTTTCCACCAGTTTTCTCTCCATCTCTCAGTCAAAGTTGAGTAGGAAGCAAGCCTCGCCCTCACCCCAGGCGCACATTTGTCGCCCGCGGTCCGCCCTGGCGTCTGGGCTGCAGGTGGGGTGAGGAGGAAGGGCTGCACGTGGCAGGGAGCTGGGGCGGGCGGGTGGCGGTGCTGCCGGGGCTGGGGAGGGCGGAGTGGGGCTCAGAGTGGGGTGTGGAGGGCCTGGTAGCTCCACGCAACAACTCAGGGGGCTCCGGGCTACGAAACATGTATGGAGAGCATCCCTTTGGCCTTCAGAGAAGGGAGCAAAGCAAGACAGACTGCCCCCATCCCTGAGTGGTGTGTCTTTGGCCTGCAGGGAGCAGCAAGTCAGCCCTGCACAGTTGCCATGGCAACGGCAGTGCTGCGGCTCCTAAGGGCAAGGGGAGGAGAAGGGAGGTGGCGAAGGCACGTGGTGGCACTTCTGGAAAAATCCATCTGTTTCTTTACCCCAGGAAACCAACCTGGAGAAAAAACAATACGGAAGGGCTGGGCATCTGGGGTCTAGAGAGAGGTGGGGAGACAAGACTCCAGGGTCTCCGAGAGCGGCTCTCCCGATGGGATGTGCCTCCCTTCCTATGGGGGAGGTGAATGACTGACAAGAACAGAGGTCCAGGTGGGCCTCGGTGGGTGGCATCCACACAGGAGCCTGTGTGCAGGTCACTCTGTGACCTCAGGCTTAGGTGGGGACAGTCCCGGGAGGCCTTCTGTTAGCCACAGCAGGATTTCTTCTTGGCAGGGTGGCCAACCTGAATGGTGTCCTTCCTCGCCGTGTCTTCTTGCTCCTTGAGAAACCTGGGGGAGTGGAAGGGATGGTGTCAGTAGTGGAGAAGTTGCTAGACCGGGAGCTGGCCACCTGGACCAGCCACCCTCAGCTTGCAGTATCTGGGCAATATGGAGAGAAAGCAACCTCACCAAGGCATCAAGAGAGTACTGAACATCTCCCCCTGGGCAGGGCGGGCGTGTGACTCTGATCGTAAAGCCAGAGAGCTTAGTCAGCATGGGTCCTTCCAGACACCTCCACCAGGAAGCCTCCCTTGATCCTCTGGGTTGGCCTAAGTGCCGCTGACACACTCTGACCCTTCCTCTGTCATAACCCCATTGCCCAACGTCATCACGCATTGCTTCCTTGGCTGTCACCTTCATCAGAGAACAAGCTGCTTGAAGACAGAGACTATGTCTTTTGTCTCTGTGCCTCTGCAGCCTACTGCAGTAACTGGCACACAGAGGAGCTCCAGAATATACCCGCGAACTCTACAGAAGGCTGCCATGTGCCCACGGCCCCAGATTATGTGCAGGAGTGAGGGATATAAATTACGGCAAGCCCCTCACCTCTGCTGTACGCGTCCAGAGTGCTGTCGCCTCAAGCATCCCTTTCATTCCCACAGCCACCTGTGAGCAGGCAGGGACGGAGGAATGGCTGATGTTCCTGCGTTACCCACAAAGTGCGGAGAGGCACGGTGACTTGCCCAGGCAGTCAGCGGCAGAGAAAAGCCTAGAACTTTTCCTCATGGTACCCCATAACCTCTCTAATGCATAGAGGAGTTGTTCTGGGTTCTTAATTACTCAAAAATATTTAAATGCCCCAGAACAAGTGCTGAGCACAAACTGGGCACTGTTGAGTACTTGTTGGATGGATAGATGGATGGATGGAATGAAATTAATGCCTGAGTACTGAAAATGGTTCCCAGTGTGGTTTTGTATTCTTAATTTCTTGTACAGGCAGAGTATTAAGGCGTCAGTCTGTCTATGTGACAGGTCCTTTCACACCATTACCTTGGTTACCTCTGGTTGATGCCCCCCTCCTTGCTCTACTTCCTGCCCCCCCCAGACCCCATCCATATGATAACCTTTCTTGCTCCCAGCCGGCTGCCAGCGAATCCCTGCTAAGACATCAGCCAGTGTCAGGGCCCTGTGGTCTGACCTTTCCAGGGAGGATTTGCATTTACAAAGAGAATCCCTGGGAAAAGGTGGCCTTGCCTTTACGACTCAGGAGAAGACTGAAGTGGGGTGACAGGCAGGGATGCTTTCTTTTTCATCATCACTGTTTCAGAAGGCTGCCCCTGACCAGTGAAATCCCATATAACGGCCCAGCCCCCCCTTGCCTGCACGCAGAGTGCTGGGGCCGGTTGGCAGGAAGGGGCCCAGAGGCGAGGTCTGGGCCGAGGGAAAGGCAGGGCCTCCCCCCAGGCTGGCCCAGCTGGCCCAGGCAGAGTTACTTTACCTGTTGAGTGTGTCTCTTTACCTGGCTAGATGGAGCACGGACTCTTTGGTGTTGTGACCGGAATAGGCGCTGCATTCATAGAAGATCAGATTATTCTCCTGGAATCACAAAACAGAGGGAATGCAACGAGGCACTGGGGGAGCGAGAGGGCTTGGGGGTGGTGGGAGACCCTGTCTGCATCTGCCTGCAGGCCCCCAGTCCCGCTGGTGGCCCCCCTCACTGTGCACGGCTGCACAGGCCCCCTGACTAATGTGGGTTCTGTAACCACCTCCCCGGTGAGCAGTAACGGCTGTAAAACAACAAGCCCATACGCTGTCCAGGTGCTGCTTTGTATTTCCTTAGACTACTCCTGAGTACGTATGTGCTCATTCCACGTTTACGCCAGCCTTGTGACGCGGTCAAATACACAAAGGCTGGGACGGGCCATATCCTTCCCACTTCACAGGCAGGGAAACTGAGGCTAGAGAGGGTGCATGGCTGGCCTGTTGGGGTCACGCACTTAGTTAATGGTAGGGCTCCCGGCAGCATGCTGTTCCCAGACACTGCATTGCGTGGGCCTTGGGCAGACGTCGGGGGCTCTCCAGCAGGAGTTCTGCTTTGCCACGCGGCCAGGCTGGGAGCGCTGGTGCGCAGGACGACTGTCCAGCACGTCACTGGGACGCAGCCGTGCTGCGTGCACAGCGGGAGTGCCCTCGGCTTGGCTCGTCACGTTCCACCCCTCACTCGCATGCACAGACCCTGCGTCACTGCCACAGTGCCGGCGGCAGGGAGCCGTGCTTCTAGAGGGTCTCTCCTGGAGGCCGATGCCCCGGGGGGACGCAGGCCAGCAGAGAGGGCCTCTGTGGCGCCAGCTCAGGAGGCTCTGCCAGAGCACCCCCACCACCCACAGGCGCAGCTCCGTCCTTTGCCTTCCCCGCTGCGCCCACGGCTCCAGCCCTCCCTGTCCACACCGTCGGACACAGACTCCAGGCCAGCGTGTCAAAGAGTAGAGGCCCCTCGGGGGTGGAGAGAAGGGCACAGGACCCAGAACCGAAGACAGGGCTGCCTTCCAGCCTCCAGCTCTGGCCCCACCGCAGGTGAGCTCAGGGTCACAGGAATGTATCTGACTCCTGAGTCTCAGGCTTTGTTCACTGACCCTACCCACAAAAAGCAAAAGAAAAGAAAATGGGATAGTATTTTTTTTTTTTTTGAGGCAGAGTCTCACTTTGTTGTCCAGGCTAGAGTGAGTGCCGTGGCGTCAGCCTAGCTCACAACAACCTCAAACTCCTGGGCTCAAGCCATCCTCCTGCCTCAGCCTCCCGAGTAGCTGGGACTACAGGCATTCACCAACATGCCCGGCTAATTTTTTTTACATATATTAGTTGGCCAACTAATTTCTTTCTATTTATAGTAGAGACGGGGTCTCGCTCTTGCTCGGGTTGGTTTCAAACTCCTGACCTCGAGCAATCCGCCCGCCTCGGCCTCCCAAAGAGCTAGGATTACAGGCGTGAGCCACTGCGCCCAGCCTAGTATTAATAATAATATAGGTCTGCAATTCCTTAGCCAAAATCCTGATGGATTTCGGAATCCAGAATTTTTGAATATTAGAAAGGCAATACATGTATTACATATTACATAATACCCTCAGTGGGTTTAGGACAGCATCTTATGGCCAAACGTACTCATATTTCTTCCGTGAGACATTTAAACAGTCAGTGAGGTAAAGACCATAAATAGCCTCACATCATTTCTGGTCAGATTTTTCTGCCAGATATAATGCAAAAGACCTTTCTGTTTTCAGAGCTTGTTGGATTTTGGAATTGTGGACATGGAACTGTCCAGGGACCTTCCACAAAGACATGGGCCCTTCTTGCTCCTTTTTCCTTGAATCTTACCATCTGCGCTCATTTTCCCAGGCTCTGAGCTCACAAGTGCTGTTTAGGGCCGGCACATTAAGAATTATGGAATCACAAGGCTGGTGGGCACCCGTCCTCCGAGACACACCGTTCCATGAAAACCAGACACTGAGGCAGTAAGGAAGCCCAGGAGCCACTGTCCTGTTGCCTGATTGCCAGGAAGGCTCGCCGACTCCATTCTTGGGCCAGAGGCTGGTGCTTACGTGAACGGCAGGTTTCCCAGAGCCTCTCCTGTGCTTCCGCTGAGTTTGACTCTTGATAGAAAGGATAATTCTCGAGCCAAGTGGGCCATGGAAGGACACACCCCCTTGCAGACAGCGAGTTCTTCATCCCCAAGGGGACCAAGTGAATACAGCTGGTGGGATCCGAGTGTCAGAGGGGGATTGAAATACAAAACCTCTCTCCATCTTAGAATTTCTAATTATGAGTTCAAGGAAGAGAGTTTAGGATAATCCCCTGTCCCCTAGTGCTCCCTGACCAACTAACTCCATCTTGCCATCTGTGACTGTCTGTGGAAAGACCCACGTGCACGGAAAGACCACGGCCCACGTGCTGGGACGTCCCTGTGATGCCCAGATACCCCTTGCCCAGCTGCTTCCCATGCAGCTTCCAGAGAAGGTTCCCACCTGGCTCGGGGCACACGCCCGCTGACCTGGGCGCTCCCTCCTCCCAAGTGGTGGAGATGCTTGCTCTTTACCTTGGCGAGCTGTTCTCCGAGGCCCCGAGGGACTTCCCGCTCCTTCTCATTGTCAAGCTTATTGCCCAGCAGAAGAACAGGAACCTGGTCTCCCACAGCTTCCTGCAGAACAGACAGCCCTCAACTGAGACGGCATCCTCGAGGGAGCCCTGAGGGCAGGGGTTCAGTGACAGCTGGACAGATGCCACAACAGCCCAGGCCATAACCAAGTTACCCCAAAAGCTGAAAGGGACAGCCACCTTCTCCGGGAGCCTGCGTTCACCATGCTTTTGCAAAGTGCCAGAGGCCTGCCCCTCAGTGTCTGCCGGTCCCCTCTGTGCCGTGACTGCTCCCCCTCACTACTGTCCTGGGATGGAACGGCAGGTCCCCAGGTGTGCTGGGGAGCAGGTAGCAGGAGGAGGGCACAGTTGACACTGATGGGCCTGCGTCCTTTGCCAGGGCTCACAGCACCATGAGGGCGTCCCTAAGGGAACACATTTGATCTGCCCTCGCAAGGGTGTTGCTGGAGGCGCTCCGATTAGAAGCAGCATCTCTGGAGGCCTCACGTTGGGGCACAAGCCCCCTGCAGGTTGCACCCAAATCTGCTTCCCGATCCTGAGCCCACCGCACTCCACGAGGACCCGTCGGAGGTGGGCACACAGCCCCCCATCACTGGTGCTCGGGCTCCAGAGAAAGCCCTGTTTGAGGCAGCACCGAGTGGCCACAGCAGCTGTGCTTTTCGGGCCAACAGTCAAAGGCTCATTCAAGGTGCCACCCTATTCATTCCTCCAACGGCTGTGGCGCATCAGCCGGGGGCGCACTGGGGTCTCTGTCCCTCCCTGTGAAGGGGACACCACACGGTGCCTCCCTCGAGGGTGAACAGAGGCCGCGGGCGCAGCTATTCAGCCATAAATATGCAAATGTTCACATGTAAGAAGGCTTGTATTTTCACTTTTTGAAATATTTAATTAGGGGCTTTTAACCATAATTTGGTAACAAATAGTTATTCACTGAAGCTAAATGTTTTACTAGGCAGAGGGGGCTGTGGGATAACAGAAGCTAATAAGCAGTTGTGGTTTTGCCAACATTCCAGCGACCTTCCCTCAGCATCTCGAATGTCTAAGGCCCCTCTGACAGTAACACCTACTTTAAGGTTGGATGAAATTACATTTGAAATGAAGCCTCCATGTTTCCTTAATCTGCACATTCATTTTTATTGCAGTTCAATAGAGGAAAAAATTCTCATTTACTAAATGAGAAAGTTAAGGGTTAGAGACTCCAAAAGAACATTCTACAACAAAGGCACTGAATTATGAGGACTTTTTTTCTGAGACAGAGTCTCACTCTCTTGCCTGGGCTAGAGTGCTGTGGTGTCAGCCTAGCTCACAGCAACCTCAAACTCCTGGGCTCAAGCGATCCTCCTGCCTCAGCCTCCCAGGTATCTGGGACTACAGGCATGCGCCACTGTGCCTGGCCAATTTTTTTTTTCTATTTTTAGTTGTTTGGCTAATTTCTTTCTATTTATAGTAGACATGGGGTCTTGCTCTTGCTCAGGCTGGTCTCGAACTCCTGAGCTCAAGCAATCCTCCCGCCTCAGCCTCCCAGAGTGCTAGCATTATATCTGCACCCATCCTAGGACTCTTTAGTATATGCGCCCACAATACTCTAATCTTTTTCTCTTGCTTCTTATTTCCAATGAAATCTCTGCTACCTAGCATCCTATTAACTAGAACTCTCTAAAAATGGAATCCACTGGTAAGACAGTAATTAACATTTGTACTCATGATTTGGACACACTACAAGATCTTGCAGTGTCTTCAACCCCTCAGCAACACAGCAAGCTCAGGACACTGTTGGTGATGCACTAAGGGGACCGCATCACATTCCAGATACTTGAGCGTGAGCAATGCACTTAGGGCACAGAGTTGCGCGGCTCCCAGTCAGCCACAGCCTCGCTGATGGGAACACCCTTCCCCGCGCCATGCCACGGAATACTTCTGCAAAGCGTTTGTCACAGAAAAGGAAGACAAGAGGAGGAAGCAGGGAAGTGGGCCAAACAGCTTGCTGTTTAGAGCACAGGAGAGAGAGATATTTGTAGATTTATGTGTGAGGAATGACTAAGGCTTGTGGGATTTCTTGACATGGAAACTCTGAAAATATGAGCATCAGACTTGAAATCCCAGAGCAGAATCCTAACCCGGATTTTGTCGTTATTTGGAACGGGCGAAGGCTTTGGTTTCCTCACTTGCGAAGGGGGTGATGGAGACTGAACGATCAAACAGGAAGGGCCAGGAAGTGAGTCATAAGCCCAACATCTGGGCCCTGTGCGCCGCAAACAGCAGTGCTGCCTCTGGGGAAAAGAAAGGGCAGCCCTCTCCTTTCTTTCTTTCTTTCATTCTTTTTTAGAAAAAGCAATTCCTGGATATACAAATAAAGGAGCTTAGAAGGAGCAGAAAAAAAGCCAAGCACCCAACTGGAACTGTGGCTTCTGGTTTTCGCACCGTTCCCCTCTCACACAGCCGCTCTGGACAGCCCACTTCCCTTGCACGGGCCTGGCCTGCATGGATAAGGGAGAGGTAGGCCCATCTCCAAAGATATGCCAGAAAAAGAATGGGAGAGAGAGCAAGAGAGAGAACACACGTGAGGCCTGAGAGTGTGCTAACTATCACGGGCAGTCAGTCATCGCCAGCCCGGCCCAACATCAGCCTTTGACACTGGAGCAAGGAGACGAGCTCGTAACGGGGTAGGTGTTTCATGGTCCTTCCTGACTTTGACCCCAGAGTTTTCAATCATCTGCCTAAACCTGTCCCTCCTCATACCCAACTGGGTTTTCAGCCTGTGTACTGCTTGGCACAAAGATGCTCATAATTATCCACTTCCTTTTAAAAGTCCAAAGTGCACCTCCTTCAAGCCACTGGGGATGGGGAGAACAGTCTCAGGTCTGCCCACCCTCCCCTGCGGATACTGTTCAAATCCCACAGGCACAAGAGGTCAGGGTGAAGACAGCTCAGCTCCCTAGTCGGCACACAGCCTCTCTTTGTGAGATGCGAGCTGTGCCCGGCTGTCTCCGTCTCTCCGTGTGATCTGTCTGAGCGTGGACAAGTCTCCTTTCCGTGTCTCTTAAAGCCAGTTTCTGTTCTACGACCCTCTAATGGAGAACCCTCCCTACACCTTCAATTATTTTAGCTGCCTTTCTCTGAACTTGAGCTTGTTAGAAGACAGACTTGTTGAAATTCAAAAGATCACCCATCTCTGACTTTAAATAACAAGAGCTGTCAACTTGGAGCGGAGGATTGGCATTCAGCTCAGAATGTGCAGCTGTTGGGTTTGGTTGGTTGTGTGTGTGTTTTAATATCTATTTGCTGGGAGGCATGAAAAAGCACTTAGCTGGGATAGTGCTGCTATTTCTCTGGAACCAGAACAAAAAATTTCTCAGCACATTAAAGCATGCAGTTATGCTAAGAAAAAAATGGCTGCGAAATTATATCTTGGGGGTTTCCATATTTATCCGCCCCCTGGACTATGAGTCAAAACAAGATTTATTTGTGTAGTTTGTTTTAAACTGCCAGCACTTCAAGCTCAACTTGGAACGTGGGGAAAAAAATCAAACTGCTATTTTTTGCTCCATGCTGTACATTGTCACCAATGACAAAGATCACAGAAGGAGATTTCGTTAGCAGCCCAGGGAGGGAGAGGGAAGTGGGCCAGGCCCCCTTTAGCTGAAGGACTGCTCTGCTTTGAGACAGAAGCAAGAAGGACTGGAAAGGAAACGAAGCCCTGTTTTTCAGCAGCAGGTTCCAGTCATGGAGCAAGGGACAAGAGACAAGCACAGTGCGGTGGCGAAGCCCTAGATTCCAGATCTGGCTGTTTCCTGACAAGCTGTGGGCTCCTTCAGACAAGTCACTTCCTCTTTTTAGGTCTTAGTTTTTCTTACCTATAAAACAAAGGTTGCATCAGATTAATCTCCACGTTTTTTCCAGCTCAGAGACAGTTCCTTCCTTCACTTTCTGTACTTACAGGCCTAATAACATAGTGCCATCAGAACGACAAAGGATCTCAACAAGAGTGCAGCATCCCAGGACTGCAGACACTGGGGACAAACTCTTTGGATCTGGGGGAAATGCCAGCCTGTACAGCTCTGTACCAGATCTATTTTCTCTACCTGACACCGGCCCCAAGATCTTCCCATGTCCAAGCTGCCCCGTGGTCAAACTCGGAGCCTGTAGGGCCTGACCGGCTTCCTCTCCACACTGGAACGCTTAAACCAGCCCCACCCAACGGGTGTGCCGGGGAAGTGGGGGGAGGGAGCTGGGGATGCTGAGCTGCCAGGAATGACTGACTTTGGTGATGTCCCACACGGTGCCCAGGAGAATCAGCACAGAGTGAGTGTGGCCCAGTGTAGGCCTCTTTTGCAGAAGGCCTGCAGGTGACGCAAAGCCGCCCCGCTGGGGAGGGGTAGGAGGGCAGTGGAGACAGCAGGACCTTGCCACCGCATCAAGCAGGGTGGGTGTTCTCTTGCACCAAAGGGTTTTGGTTCCCTCAGGGCTAGAAGGGTCCCCCAGCGTCCTCCCTCCATACACACTCCTGCTCCACCCTGGCCCCGCTGGGAGAGTCAAATGTCCTACGCTGTAGAACTGGGGGCCAGGAGGAGCCTTTCAGAGCACTGGCCCACCCCCTCATTGAACGACTGGCCAAAGGCTTGCTGCCAGGAAGTGGCCGGGTTGGGATGGCAAGAACTCCTTCTCAGGGGGCTCCACTACCTCCCCCGAGCATGTGCTCCTGTCCCACACAACCTCTTCCAAGGGTCCGCCTTTCCCACGCACGGCGTGCACGCAGTGGAAGCCCTTTTGTGTTGCTTCTTATGTGGGGGAGGAAGGGCACTGAGAGCAGCTGGCGCCGTGCACGTGATGCAAAGGCTCCAGAACCTTGAAGACTGTTATGAAAGCCCCTCCACCCTCCCTTCCAGGTGAGGGAGCTGGTAAAATGCTCAGAGCTCTTTGGAAAAATAAGGCGCTCCACAAATATAAAGCACTTATTATTTTCAGTTCCCCTCAGATCAAATTAGGTGTCAAGTTTTAATCTATCACCTGACACCTCTGATTGCTGGTTGCCAAGGCAGAATGACTTAGCTTTTCAAGAATCAGGGAATGATTGCATTTATGATGCCACTGTTCCACACCTTCCACACACGCTGTGCCGCTCGATACAGCCTCCTGCACGTGCTCCTGAAACCTGTGCCTGGTGTGGAGTGGAATGCAGCTCCCGGGCTGTCCCACGGAGTCCTGCAGAGTGCCTAGCGAGTGCCGGACATGCTGCAGGTGCTCCGTAATTCTCCGTGAAGGGTCACCGGCATCCGTGAAAACAACTCAGAGCCTTGCTGCTGAAGGTTGGTCCCAGACCAGCAGCATCAGCCTCCCCTGAGGACTTGTTAGAAATGCAGCGCCCAGCCCAGACCTGCGGGGTCAGAGTCTGCATTTTAACAGGATCCCCAGGAGGCTGCCACGTCCGTTAGAGTTCAAGAAGCACTTATTAATACTTAGTCTGGGGATCCCGGTGGCTGAGAATCAAAATCCCCAGGGAGCTGTTAAAATGTTTTTCTGGGCCTTGAAGCATTCTATCTGGGAGAGAAGACCCTGGTATCTGTTTTGTTTAAAAGCTCTACAGGTGATCCTAAAATTCATCTAGGGTTAGAGTCATCATTTAGAGTTTAACTATATCTTCTGCTAAAATTATAAAAAGGAAAAAAACTCAAACTACAAATCATACGGAAAAGCACCACCTATACATAGAGCATTCTGAGCTGACCACGTGTGGATCTGCCTCAGCCTGGTGTTGCAAGCCCATCGATGTGCAGGGCGTCCACGGGCGCCTTAGCAGACACACGCCGACGACGCTTTTCAGCCCTGTCCCACAGGAACATTCCTGGAGTGTGACTGAACACATACTTCATGCTGTGGTGATGGCCTGCTGCAGTTTCTTCACCTACGCCACCAAATTCAACCTGATGTTGCCCCTCTCCCACTAGATCCCGGGCTGTCTGTGCAAAACAGGAGCCTTAGAGATTACACTCCCTAATGACAGCAGGGAGCGTGGGTCCATGACTTTGTCTCCAGCCATTCCATTCACCCCAGACCACTGCGACTGCCTCTGCCCAGCTCTGGTATATACCAAATATTTGGGGGCAATTAATTGTCTGTGGCAGGGGAAAAACAGGTGACCCTGGAGAAGTTGGGGCTTCAATTTCTCCACTTGTGAATGAGATGGCTGTAGTAGATGGGTGATTTTCAAAGGGAAACTCTTTTGTCCAACAAAATTGTGCCTGGACCTCCAATCTGAAAGCTGAACGGAGCAGGGCAGCTCTGGCTGAGATGGGGGGTGAGGGGCCCAGGACTGTGATGACCAAACCTCCCTGGCCTGCCCCAGTCTCTGGCGCATGTCAATCTGGTTCCAGGCTCCAAGGAAGGAAATCTGGAAACCACTGGATCAGCTAATCCCTACAGTCTCTCCTGGCCTTGATCTCTGTGAGGAACATAAACCTGCTGTTAACAACAGAGGAAATAAAGAAAAAAAATCGTGCCACAAATTGCAAAGTTTAAATAGGAATTACTGCCAACTCTACTTGCAGCATCTGCTTCCATTACCAGCTCGGTGTATGGACAGTCCACTACCTTTCAAAGCTTGTATTTTCTCAAGCTTCCTCAGTTGTAAGTGTTTTAGGCGAGTCGATTTTGTGTACTCATTTGTATTAAGCAGATTTCTGAGAAACCCTTGAATCTGGCTTCCATACTGTTCCTTATTTTTCTTGGTGACTAGAAGGATGCAGATTGACAGTGGTCTAGGCGGTAAAACTATAAGAAACAGATGTTGGGGGGTGAGACTGCAGATCTTAGGGCAAAAGGGACGAGGAAATTACCGCTCTAGGGTTCTGCAATAAGGTACCATCCACAGCACCAGGGTCACCGTGGCCGAGTCGCAGCTTCTGTTCTGGGGAGGCACGGCGCCCAGCAGGGCATGCGGGTGGAAGTACGTGACCTCAGCAGTGTGGTGAGGACAGGACGGGGCACGCAAGGTCTCTGGGCTCAGAGCAGAGAGTTGAACACAAGCTCCACAGAGGCAGGGACCTTGTCTCTTCTATTCACCACCAGAACCCCAGGTCCTAGGGTAGCGCCCGGCAGTGATTTGAACAAATACGTGAGCGTCCAGCAGTGATTTGAACAAATACGTGAACAAATGAGTCCTGTTGGCAGAAGGGGGCGGGACATCCTACGTGACTGCTCTGTGCAAGAATCCTCGAGGCCGCGTCAAAGCAGCGAGTGGCTTGTCCACATTGCCCTTGGCCTTGAGAAGCCTGCGCTGGGGCGGCAGAACAGGCAGGCGGTCGGCAGCAGCAAGTGCACACAAGGCAACGCCCTGCGAGTGGGGGTCAAGAAACGAGGGGCAAACGACAGATAATTCTGTAGGCGCAGGGAACACAGTTGCTCTCCGCCCTGTGGAGACCTTGGTTTAGGGTGAGCCTGGAGCCCCGCATTACGGAGCAGCCCTGCCTCGTGCGAAGGGCTGTGACGGGAGCCCCGCACGCCGCGTGTGCAGTCCCCAGGCAGCGCACAGCTGGCCCACAGGAGCCAGGCAGCTGCACGGGCCGGGAGGTGGTGGTGAGGATGAGGGAAGAGTTCGGTTGTGACTCAATTTAGACACTGATTTCTCAGGGGACCCTTCCGCACCTTCTCCCCCAATCCAATCCCGTGCCCAGCACACAGTTGTGACACAATTACTGGTGCCGTCTCTACTTGTGTCCCCTCTTTCCATGAATGCGGGACAGTGTCTGTCCTGTTCACTTCTGGATGCCCAGGAACCAGGCGGTACTGGGAACGTGGACGGACGGACAGACAGACGTCCGGGCTAGAAGGTTTGGAGAAGGAGAGTTCTGAATCAGGTGTTGAGAGTGCAGAGGCTGGCAGAGGACGGGCAGAGAAAGGGGAGCCACGGTTGAGCATAAGGTCCCGGGAAGGCCGCCAACTCACCTCCACGCTGCTCAGCCACTGCCGCACCGACAGGAACGACTGCTTGGCCGTGAGGTCGTACATGACGATGACACCATCCACCTTTCTGAAGAACTGCTGGGTGATGCAGCGATACCTGCCAGCGAGGGCCATGGGTCAGGGGCGCACGGCCTTCCCTCTGGAGCCCAGGCCTTCGGGGCAGCCCTCACCTCTCCTGCCCCGCCGTGTCCCACAGCTGCAGAGCCACCTGAGAGCCGTCCACGCTCACCGTCTTCACGTGGTAGTCGATGCCTGCACGGTGGAACGGGCCTGTCAGGGCCGCCCTGGGCCAGAGGCACCCACGCCTACGTCCGGAAACTGTGCTTCCAGCGAGTCTGGATCACGCCAGGCCCAGGTGGCAGCCCTCCCCGCAGCTCCTGGGAGGGAATGCAGGCACGTGGACAGAGCACTGGACAGGGAGGCGTCTGGCCTGAGTCCTGATCCCTTCTCTGCCGCTGATGGGCTGTGGGACCTTGATCAAACCACTGAGCCTCTCCGAGCGGCAGGCTCTTCACGGTGATGTCCTCACTACCTACCCTGGGCCACGTGAGGCGCGCTGTGTGAGGGTCAAGTCGGATCACACGCATAGTCGCAGTTGCGGACGCAAAGTGACTCATGCGTCACTTCCCTCACTGGGAAGACGGAGGAGGAGGAAAGACTGTCCCCAAATTTCTTTCTTTCCTTCCTTCCTTCTCTCCCTCACTCTTTCTTTTTCTTCCTTTCTCTTTCTTCTTTTTTTGCCTAAAATCCTTTCAAAGTGACCCTAATAAAATTCAAATATCCTGGGGGATGGGTCCTACTTTAAGACCTCCTCAGCCAATTCAAAGGCAGTGGACCAGGAGGAGGGGGCTGGGGCAGAGGAAGGGACAGAGGAGGAGGGAGAGGGAGGGGATCAAAGCCAGGTCTGCCCTTGACATGGGTTTAGAGCTCCTAAACGCCCCCTGGGCTGTTCAGCCATCTCTCCAGGGGTACAACCCTGCCCGGGGTCATCAACCCCAGAGAGAGGAAGCAGTGAAATGCCTTCACACCCTACAGCGGCCCTCAGAGATAGGAACCTTACTACAGGTGTTTTGATACAGACATTCCTTTCTTGGGCATGCTGTAAGAATGTTCACAAATGCATAAAGACGATCGAAAATCCTCCCTCCTTAAGGTACTGGATCTTAGAACTTGAGGGCATCTCCTCCAACCTTCAGAAAGGGCTCTGGGGTCCTTGCCCAGGAGGGCCAGGACAGAAAACAGCACCAGCAGTTTGGACAGATAGAGACAGAGGACACCCAACAAAACAAGGAGGCAGAACACGGAAAGGGTCATCCCCGCCACTGTCTCCAGGCAAAGGCTAGTGCATTAAGGGCCTGTGAGTGGAGGAGAGGTGGGGGATCATCCCCCCCAATGTCAGGACCAGCAGGGAGTCCAGAGCCCTTTGCTTCACTGACAGGGACAGAGACGGCGTGGATCCGTCTGGGCTGAGACAGCACGATCTCTCCCATCAGCAGACTGCCTTACATGCCCAGCGTTTCCACGTGCCGCTCCATCTGCCGTGGCCCTGACATCCACACGGGAGTTACTGCACACACACGCGTGCACACATGCACGTGCAAATGCACGCCGTTGAGCACGGCCGTGCCTTGCCCAGTGGTCAGCAGCTGCGGAGCGCTGCGAAGCTGGCTCTGAGGCGCCCGCCCCTGTCACAGCAGCGCACCGGGCCCAGGACACCGCGGCTGCGTCTCACCGAAAGCCGGGGCTCAGGGCTCCCGCTGCACGGCTTACAAAGGCTGGGAGCCGAGTCCAAGGCGTTCTCCTCCTGGCTGGGAGCAGAGCGGCTGCCCTGGTCTGTGCTCCCAGAGTCGGAGCGCTGCCTGCTTCCCTCGAGACACAGGAGAAAACCCAGCGTGGGCGGCGCCCTCGGGGCCAGACCCAGGAGGAGCCCTCTGCCTCCCGCAAGGCTCCAGATGGAAGGCCAGAGGTGCTGCCGGGCGCGGGGGCTCGGCGCCCCAGCATCCTCGCCCGGGCTGGCGGGTGCTTTGCCAGAGGGCGGAGCTGCGTCTCACGCAGCGTGCGGCGGGCAGAGGAGTGCTGCGAACATGCACCGTGCCAGGACGCGCTGGGTGACGCTTGCTGACGGCACCAGGTGCCCTTCTCTCTGCGCCTGGGCCAGGTGCCGGGCTGGGAGCGAGGACACCAGGAGGACGCGGGCAGTGGGGGTGGCACGTGGAGACGTGAGGTCAGGACTGCCAGGGGCCAACAGGCGCAGCAACACTGAGACGCGGGGCCAGAGGCCTGGATGGGACTGATTTAGACCACGGCCAGCCCTAACCTCCCAGGTCAGGAGGCTGCCGTTCTGTGTTCTGGTCGCAGCTCTGCCACCGGCCAGCAGTGCAGCCTTGGTGGCATTACCTCCCCTCATTTTGGGGGGTTCACTTTCTTCGTCTGTAGACTGAGGTGAGACGGAGGTTTCAGGGGGCTGAGCCGGTGCTCCTGCTCTTTGAGTTCTGCCTAGCATTCACAGGTCACATGGAGGTGACCCCCAGCTTGCAACTGAAATGCTCCTGAATGACAGCAAAGTCTGGAGCCACTGGGGAGCATGCTGGGGCCATGGTGTGGCCTGGAGCTGGGCTGCTGGCCCCCAGGAAGGTGACATTAACCTTTCCCAAGAAGACAGGCCCAAGCTGTCACAAAACAGGAGGTATGTGGGGCAGGGAATGCTAGCAACTTGTCGCAGAGAAATGTGCTCTCGAGATCTGTCTGCAAAGATGAGGAGTAGGACAGAAATTGACTAGTGGCCAAGAAAGAACAGAAGCCATTCTGTGGGGACAGCCTCTGGAAGAGGCAGCTTGGGTTCTGCCTGTGGTTTAGGGCGGTGGCGGGGAGGGGCTGTGGACCAATGTGGAGCAGTGAAAGAGCACTGGACTTGGAGTCCTGGGTTCTAGAGAGCTTTAGTTATCTCTAATAATCAGTCTGGTTAAAGACCTCAATTTTCTCACTTACAAAACCAGAGATTATTACACTTACAAAATGAAATAGACTATTTCTGAGACTCCTCCCAGCTCGACTGTTATGCCTGCAGAACCCAGGCACCTGCTTCCAAAGGAGCTGGTTGGGTCCCAAGGGAGTGGAGGCAGGATGCCCGGGTCACACGGCTGCGGGGCAACTCACACACAAGCCAAGGGGCTGGCACGGACCATGATCGCATGAAGCAGTGGGAGCCAGGAAGTCAGTGAGGCCCCTCTGGTGATGGAGGTGGACCTTGAAGACCAGTCGAAGCCCTGTCACTGGCTGCTGCCTTTGACAGGCGACTGGCCAGAGCCCTGCTGTGGGGTTGGACTGCTTTGGCCTTAGGGGCTGTGACTCTGCGGCTGTCACATCTCTTTAGAGGGGCGGCTTGCAGGTGGCTAGTGCACATCTGCCTGCTGACATGTGTCCCCGAGCAAGGCCAGTCGAATGGCCGGGAAACTAATTCCAGCTGCTGCTCCAGCATGTGTTGAGCAGTGTGATGAACAGCGTCCTGATTTGGAAACTTTGATTTTTTCCCTCCTTCCTAAATTGTAGGTGTTTCCATAATTGGTCTCCTGGGAAGTGCACATTAGTCTGATTTTCTACCTTTCAGAGCCTTGCATCTCAGGGGCACAAATTAGAAATGCAAACAGATCCTGATTTCACTGTCAGGGGAGGGACATCACATGCGCACTGCTTGGGGGACAGGCCTTTGTGGGCCTGAGGTCGAGCGTCCCTCCCGCTGCCTCCTGCAAGCCTGTGCTAGAGCCATGGCCGGGCTGTATTCCCGGGAATGCCCCCGGGAAGCGCATCCCCGCCTGCTCCCGCTGCCTCCTACAGGCCTGTGCTAGAGCCATGGCCGGGCTGTATTCCCGGGAATGCCCCCGGGAAGCGCGTCCCCGCCCGCCCCCGCTGCCTCCTGCAGGCCTGTGCTAGAGCCACGGCTGGGCTGTATTCCCGGGAATGCCCCCAGGAAGCGCGTCCCCGCCCGCCCCCGCTGCCTCCTGCGCCACCACGCTCGGCTCACTCGCAGCTGCTGCCCGCTCGTCTGGGCTTGCTTCCTAGGCTCTGTCCTTCCCATCAGCGCCTACTTTCTTGTCTTGGATCTTGGGATGCTCTCTGTCTCTGGGTGGAGTGGGGAGGATGTTCCAGATGTGATAACAGTAGAGGAAAAGGCCTGACGATGAGGATGGGACACAAGGACACAAGTGTGCGAGGAGAGAGGCATCCGCAGGAGAAATGTTGGAAGGGCCAGTTTAGGGTAAGAGAAAGAAAATGGAGGCTGGGCGCAGTGGCTCACACCTATAATCCTAGCATTTTGGGAGGCTGGGGCAGGAGGATCGCTCAAGGTCAGGAGTTTGAGGTTGCTGTGAGCTAGGATGACATGATGGCACTCTAGCCCGGGTGACAGAACAAGACTCTGTTTCAAAAAAAACGAAAGAAAGAAAGAAAGAAAGAAAGAAAGAAAGAAAGAAAGAAAGAAAGAAAGAAAGAAAGAAAGAAAGAAAATGGAGTTTCTTTTCTTTTTTTTTTTTTTTTTGAGACAGAGTCTCACTTTGTTGCCCAGGCTAGAGTGCTGTGGCGTCAGCCTAGCTCACAGCAACCTCAAACTCTTGGGCTCAAGGGATCCTCCTGCCTCAGCCTCCGAGTAGCTGGGACTCAGGCATGCGCACCATGCCCGGCTGATTTTTTGTATATTTTTTAGTTTGCCAATTAATTTCTTTCTATTTTTAGTAGAGACGGGGTCTCACTCTTGCTCAGGCTGGTTTTGAACTCCTGACCTCGAGCAATCCGCCCGCCTCAGCCTCCCAGAGTGCTAGGATTACAGGCGTGAGCCACCGCGCCCGGCCCGAAGATGGAGTTTCTTCAGGCAAGGCCCTGTGCACGGAAAGTTGTCCTATAGGGCCAGCTTGGCAGACAGCCAAAGGTGGAAGAGGGTCTGATGGTCTGGTCAGAGACCTGGGGGTGGAAGCAGTCTTGGGGAACCCAGCTCAAACCTCTCGTTTCTCAGAGGAGAGAAAAACTGAAGCCCAAAGGGAGGTCATGTCCCCCCGAGGCCACACGCTGGTCAGTGGCGGGCGAGGAGCTCCGCCGACTCGCCGCGCCTCCACGGCCACTCCTGCCTGCACCCACCTCTGCCCACCTCCCAGGCAGAAAAGTGACCTCACTGCCCACTGGCTGCTATGTGCACACAGCGCGGGGTTGTTAGGGATACCGCGGGACGGAACAGAGGTGCGTGTTGGGGGCGGGCGTCGGCGCCACCCTGCGGACGCGAATGCGGACGAGCCCCTTCACCTTTCTGCACCTCAGCTTCCTGATCTGTCTATTGGGTGGATGACAGCACCCGCCCCCAGGGGTATGAATGCAGACTGAAACCGTGACTACAAAAGCTCTTGGTACATACTCAGATCATATTCTTTCAAGTAGAGTTGACTTATCAGCTGGGTGAAATACGCACTCACTATGTTTAGTTTTTGTTGCATGATTCAACTTGGTTGAAGTGAAAGGTCCATTTGCCCTTGGGTTTCGTCACGAGTTCCTATGCAACATTTGACTTTGGGGGAAGGGATCAAAGGCCTCTATTTAAATAAAATGTTCTCCAGGCGCGGGACACAGTAAGCCATGATCATCCATTAACAGCTGATCCTGATGAGCTTGGGCCTAACTCCCGCTCTCACCCAGCAGGCCAGGGACAGGCAAGATTCGATGCGTACAAGAAACCATCCAGAGCACTGGCCCTGTCCCTCCCAGCCTACACACACACACACACACACACACACACACAGACGGACGGGGAGGAAGTAGCAGGCCACTGGGAAGGCAGGGGCTGTGGTGGCTGGGCGTGGCCTCAGGAGTCCCAGTGTGTCCCAGGGGAGTGCGGAGACTCAGGGCCCTGTGGACAGTGGGGACGATTGGGGGGAGGGGAGTGCCTGGCGGGGAAAGGCCTCAAGTCTGCTTCGCCAGCGTGGCTCCACACACCCGGGGCTGGTTTGCAAGCAGGCAGGGGTGCATCACCGCAGAGTAAGCCCAGCAGCCAGCGGCGTGCGGGGGTGGGCTCTCCTGCCTCTCCCAGCCGCCCTGCTGAACAAAGCAGGGCGTCCCTACCAGCCTGAGTGTCCCTACCAGCCTGGGCCTTCTCACCGCCTTCCCTTCCCATCTCAGGGACGAGGACTTACCCACAGTGGCTGCCATGCCAGGGGAGAACCGGTCCTCACAGAACCTCCTCAGGAAGGACGTCTTCCCCACCGCGGAATTGCCAACGAACACGACCTTGAAGAGCCGGTCGGGGGTGGAGGGAGAGCTCTCCTGTGGATGGCAGACAGTCTGGGCAGCCGCTGGGCATGGCCGCTAGCCCCTGCTCTGGCTACGGGAGGGCGGGGACGGGCCTCCAGACCATCACCAGGGAGGCCGCGGCAGCCTCATGGCGCAGTCAGCGCGGCCAGGCGTGGAGGCTGCTGCTAGCGCCGCGGGAGCGGGAGGGACAGCTAGCACCGTGGGAGCGGGCGGGGCAGCCGCCGCGGGCCTGTTGGCCACCGCTGCGGCACAGGATGCGGAGGCCAGGCTGGCCCGTGTGGCGGTGCAGGAGGCAGGCATGTGACAGCAAGGACAGCTCCAGGTGCCAGGTGCTACGGGGCACGGAGGAGGAGCCGAGGAGCCACAGTGGACTCCGAAGGGGGCTTCAGGAGGAGGCAGGGACTCCTTGCGTGGGCAAGGACAAGCTGGGGCGCTGGCGGTGAGCAGGAGAGAATGAAAAAGACTTATCTGTATCCCAGGGCAGAGACCTCCCCAGATGGGACACGGAGCCTCTTATTTCTGCCCTATCACTGGAAGCCTGGTCGGGACGGAGGCAGCTCTCCGTCCCAGCCCTCAGCTTCCATCTCGGCATCGCCATCTCCCTCGGCCCCGGGGCCAGGCGGTCTCCACTGGGTAAGTTGGGAGATGCTGTGACGCCACCACTGGGCGGAGCTTCCCCATCGGCCTGTCACTGCTGCTGTGTCTCCTGTGCCCACTGGGCTGGGACACTAATGCCCAGAGGGGAGCGTGCTCGCCTTAGGGCACGACAAAAGCCCCAGTGGAGGAAGACGCCCGTGCAGCACGGGGTCCTCTGTGCACAACGATCGCTCCTTCCAGTGAGCTGCCTGCTCCCCAGAATCGCACCTGCAGGCCCGGCTCAGCGCTGCCTGGTCAATGAGGAGGCTCTTTTGAATCTATTTAAAAGTGGATTTGGGGGAATTAGCTCCTCTCATTGAGCAAATACTATAATGGAGTGGCAGCTCATATTAGCAGTACTTGAGTTTCAGAGAAAAGCCGTTAACAGCCTTTTGGGGAGAAATCAATTCCACGCAGCACCTAGTGGGGAATCCAAGGTCAACTACAGGAAATTAAACTAAAATCTTAAAGACCCAAGCCCACACTAAAGAACTCTGCCACCTGCCCCATTTTCTTTATTCGGGCAATGCACAGGGCAATGCACAGGTCTCTGTACCGTTAGTTGTCATTGGTTTGAGACTAAAACTCACTGCACCAATCTGTCATCCCCAGGCACAGGGAGCATGAAGCCCAGGATGGGAGGAGGTGGTCCTGGTGACAGACGCATTGCCTGATCCTTAGGCCTTTGGCCACCACCCCCTTCCCAAAGCAGAGCATTTCTTTCTTTTGCAGGCAAACCCCATAAACACATTGATGGCTCAGCTTTGGTGGGACTCAGCTCCCAAGAGCAGCAAACTCTTATGTTCATGCACTTGACCTGCTGTCCCCTCTGAAGGACACCCCACCAGCTGCACAACAGTGACCCGGCTGGATTGCGGCTAGGGGCTGAAGAAGATCTTTTATTGTTCTCCCTTCCTACATACTTTTCTATTTAAAAAAATAAGTTTGTGAAAAGTAAAGTATATGGTAATTTTTATAATTAGGAAATACAGAAAAGTAGAGGGGGAAATAATTTTTCATAACCTACCCTACCACCCTGAAATGGTCCCTATTCATATCTTAATGTATTTCTTCCAGCCTTTTTTCTCTATAGATATGAGTGTATGTTTTGTTTATAGAGATTTGATATATATATAATTTTATCTTACTAAAGTAAGATATATATTATTAAATTATAAATATTTTTATGAGTCACTAAAGTTTTTTGAAAGTGTGATTTTTAACAGCTGTATAATGTTCTATTGAAATAATATACTATGATTTATGGCCCTATTGATGAACCTTTTTTTTAACTGTTTGCTGTTTTAAATAGCTCTTGCATTCCTGAGTTAAATCTTTGGTTTTGGTTATTTCCTCAGAAAAAGTTGCTAGAAGTGGAAGTACTGGTTCGAAGAATATGGTATTTTAAAGTTCTGGGTTCGTGTTGTCAGATGACTTTCCAGAAGGGTTGTACTAATTCCTGCCGCTCCTGCCTTGCATGGCAGGGCCTGCCTGGACCCAGCCTTCGGGAGAGCAGACCCGCTTTGGGGGCTGTTGTGTGGCTGCTATAGATCATATCTGCTCTCTGCTGCAATTTATGTCCCCAGCAGACTGGCAGCACAACCTCGTAGAGAGAGCACAGAAGTAAGAGAGATCAGCGAAAGGGCAGGGCCCGCATCCCTGTGGGGCCTGGGCCAGGCCTCTCCCCTCTGGGCCTCGACTTTCCCACCTGTCAGTGGGAGAATAAATATCTGACGTGCCCCATCAGACAGCTGTGAGGACAGAATGCCATAGTGGATGGGAGTGCTCAGACTTTTTCTTTACCCTGACCTCCTGACACGTTCACGTTTTAGAGGAACATCCTGGGGCATGTGAGACCCCATCCGTGCCCACTGCCAGCAGGCGCAGCTCTGTGCACTGCAGGGGCTGTGGACGGTCACGTGGGGGGAGGGGCCACCCCATTGGTGCTACCCAGTTCCCCACTTTTCCCTTGGACTAGGGGCTTTCCAAGGAATGGTATGAGACATGACTCTAATCCTGGTTACCAAGAATGGTAACCCACACCACGAAGTCTGGGTACTGGCACACTCACTAATATAGCCACTGGGTAAAGTGCCAGGTGGCAATGGCTCAGTTCTCAATGGCTGCCACAGCGTGCCTGGAGGAGCCTCTGTCACATTGCGGTGGACATTCTGACGCTGTTTTAGAGTGCTAAGTGGAGGATGGGGGCTCAAGGACACCATGCCAAGGCCTGGGTCACACACGAGGTGGCAGCGTCATTACCATGAGCCAAGGGCGGAATTGGGCAGGAAGACCTGATGGGGGTGCAGGGTCGTGCTGAAGGGAGGAGCAGATGGGGAGTTTGGGAATGAAGGTGATTCGCTGGTTAAGAACCAAGAGAAAACAATGGCATGCCAGCTTTTCGAGCAGGACTTGGAAGGCGGTTACAGAGGGGCAGCCTTAAAAGTACGTGATATTTTATGCTCAAAGCCCAGCACAGAGTCTGTCTGAAGCAGGTACTCAGTGAATGCTTTGGAATCCGAATCAGGAGAGAAGCACTTGGGAGACAGTGGAGCGAACGCCAGAGGTCATAAGGAGAATTTGTCAGGACCCCTGGGTCTCCCCCATGACGCCGAGCTAAGCAAAGGAAGGTGGTATTTGGAGTGTGGTGACTCACAAGACCTGCAGCATCTGACATCCTCAGCTGCCTCTCGGGGCTCTTGGGCTCAAATGCAAGGGACAAGTCAGAGGAGCGGTGCCCACAAAACCATGGGGGATGTGTCTGTACCTTAGATAGGGCTTCCTTCCCAACGGGCTGCCCTCGGGGGGACGCGGGGCTGAGTTTCAAGGCTGGGGCCTCCTGGAAGAGTCCTTCTGCTCCCTGGTTGGAGACCGCCTCCTCTTCTGGGCATTTGCTCAGTGGCTGCTCGAAGCCGCCATCCAGGAGCTGGGGCAGGGGGTCTTCTTCAATGGAGATGATTCTGCGGAGTGCCCGGCGCGGCAGGCCCCCGGCCCCCGGCTCCCCCGTGCCCGGCTCCTCTTCTGTCAGAGGCTGTCCGCTCAGGCCCAGGGAGCTTCTCCTCCTCGGCATGCCAAACACGTCTTCCTCCTCCTCCGACTGGCTGCTGGGGTGGGGAAGAAGGAAGGGAGAGAGCATCATAAAATCTATCAGCACGGAAGCTGCAGGGCTGCCCGATGGCTTTGTCACAGCTGTTCACGGCAGACAGATAACTGGGCGGCGCCGTGCCTTTGGAGGAGAGAGCCCAGGAGAGGGAGAACGCAACCAGACCCGCACGGTCCGGCTCCTTCATCGACACGCTCGCGCCAAGGGCCTGCCGCTGCGGGTGACGGTGACGATGGGGAGGAGGACCAGGCATTCACTGGGGACGTCATGAACACATGGACACAGTCCCGGTCCTCATGGAATGCCTGGTTCAGTGGGGACAGAAGCAACAGTGACACGAATAAACGCACGTTCCCCAAGTGCAGGGTGCCGTGGAAGGCGAAGGTGAGGCAAGGGCGCAGACTGGACACAAAGTGCCTGATCAAGCAGCCCCGCGTCCCTAGGTGAGACGTTCGGCTGTTTCAGCCTTGGGGTGAAATGAGGCCCCGCAGCCCTGTTGCTCACAAATAAGGCAGCGTGCAAAAACAGGCGTACTGGCGAGCCGCCCCTCGGCAGTGTGCGGGGCTCTGTGCTCTGGGAGGACCCGCCCCGCCACACAGCAGGCGCAGGCTCAGGGGCAGCTGTCCCCTCGAGAACGGGCCTCGGGGCAGAGAAGCTGGCAGGGCATCTCCACCCATCTCCCCCCTCTCCCTTTCTCTCTCTCCGGCCACATCCCTGGGAAGCGGGGAGCAATTAGTGGCCTCAGAGGCCTAAGTGCATATTTGCTTCTAGAAGCATTTGAGCACCAACGGCAAGGAGACGCCGTGGGAGGCTGAGGGAACGGGCAGCTGGCGCGAGGGCCAAGCACAGTCCGCATTTCCAGAAGGTTCTGAGAGCAGATCCTCCAAGCGCCGGAGTTCCTCCTCGGTCTCTGCGAGCAATTAGAAAGCAGCGCTGTCTTACAGGGGTGGGAGTGTGACAGGGAGGACCCAAATCGACACACACACACAGATTAGAGAGGAAAAAGGACCAGGATGAAGTGGGGCCATGGGGCGAGAGGAGACAGGGAGTAGGGAAGGGCGCTGACCACGCAGAGAACACTCTTGCTTCCCGCCTTCTGATATCATCACTCCAAAACCAATAGTAGGAAAGCAAAAGAAAAGAAAATGCATGTATCGCCATTGTGAAGCTAACTGCAATTCTGTAAATTAAGATAAATAAGAAAGACAAATTAAGATATAGTGCTTGCTCACAAAAAGGTAAATTAGTTTGGATCCCTTGATATAAAAGAAAGGATCTGTAATAATTCAAGCATCTTTCTCTTGACTTAAACAATTCAGTTTTTTAAAAAAGCTGAAAATGTCTTCTTTCCAACAAACTTCCTATATATCATTTGGAGTCTACTAACTGCTTATCTGCTTTGAAACACAATGAGTATTCCCATCCACTGACGTCCACAAGGATGAATACTGTGTGCCCACACACATCACAGCATGTGCTTTCAAACGCTCCGCAACCAGAAAAGAAATGGTCACTTAAATAGGCCCTCAGAAGAAGCATTTCTTGGAAAAAGCTTTTATTTGGGAAATTCTCAAGCACTACTGACGTCCTGTAATACCTTAGGCTTAGCACGGTAAGTTCATTTTTGGTTTTACTACCCAGTGCTCCCCACCAGCAGCAGAGAGAGCAGCTACTTTTGCCAAAGTCGGTATTGGATTCAGGGTTCCCAATTTGTGGATGACTCCGCTAGTGTCTGCTTCCTCTGCTCAACCATCAGCCCCAGGAGACAGGATGGGTCCGTGCTGCTCACCACTGTATATCCAGCACACAGCACAGCCGTCACATGCAGTGGACACCCAGTAAATATTTATTGAACATTTAATAATGGATTTTAAAAAAAATTTTCTCTTCCTTATGATTTTTTTAAAATTATTTTTATTTCAGCATATTATGGAGGTACAGTGTTTAGGTTATGTATATTGCCCTTGCCCCACCCGAGTCAGAACTTCAAGCGTGTCCATCCCCCAGATAATAATGGATATCAATGGGAGCATCCATGTCTAATGTATCTTTGGAGGCTTCGCAGAGCTCAGAAGAATGTCTGGCACAGAGTAGCTAATCAGTAAATGCCTGTTGAATCAATCAATCAGTGAATACATTCAGTTCTGCAGAACCAACAGGCCAAATGCTATTGCAGAAATTTGGTTCTCAAATTGAATCTCGTAACTCAGCTATTTGGAAAAGGAATTCGTGATGACCAGGCCCAGAGATTTCACGGATGAGCTGATCTGCATCCCTAGAGTCTCTTTCCCTCCACGTGTCTTCCCACTTCATGCTTGCCATCTTCAGGATCTCGCGAGCAAGCCTGCACCTTTCTCCCTGAGCCCCGTGCTGAATGGTCTGGCTGCCTCCCTCTTGGTGGCTGTCTATGTGGATGGAGCAAAATGAAGAGGGGCAGGGGACTGTCTGTCTCTGAGCCAAGCCTTTGAGTACGCAAACTCAATCATGTGCTGTTTAGCAGCAACAGAACACGTTATCTTTCAGTTAATTAAATATGAATCATTGAAACGATCTGTCAAACACAGGCCCCAGTCTTGTCTGTCAAAGGAGTTGGATCATTGGAGATTTCATATGACACTTTAATTAGCCTTCGTAGCCAATACGGTCACGGTCCTACGAAACCAAGTGCATCCATTCTGCTCTGCAGACGACAGAGCACCATCCAGCCTCGCCCTCCACCTCTCTCTCCCTTGTCCCCGTTCCTCCTCTCTCTCCTCTGCTGACCCACAGCACCTCTCTGCAGTCCGTCTCTGCAGAAGACAGTGGCTGTCCTTGGGGTTCACTCTGCACAGTGCCCCTCTGGCTTGGACATCACAACAAGGAGGGCCATGTCCTCCAAGACTCAAGGGGAGTGGGAGCAACTGACTCAGCTTCCCCACCAGGGCACATCTCAAGAGGCCAGCACGCCCCCACCGAGCCTGCCAACAAGCGCAAGGTGCATGAACGCACGGACAAGTGGACGAGGACTCACCTTCTAAGAATCCCTCTGCCGTCCACATATTTGCCTATCACAGAGCCAGACCTCCTTTTCCAGCTTGCCTTGGAAGCAGCTGTGTTTGCCTTGGCTGCCGTATCTTTCTGTGGAAACACAGAATGCCCTCAGATCCACGCCCGCTGATTCCCTCTCTCCTTCGAGCAGAAAGGGGCTCGTTGTTCCCACCCCATAGGCCGGCTGTAAAGCACACTTTGAAGTAGGCAACAGTCTTCTGCCAGCCTTCACCTGCCAGCCTTCACCTGCCAGCCTTCACCTGCCAGCCTTCACCGACTCTTCCCTTTCGCCACCCTCCCTCACCAGAGCCCCGCCTCCTTTCCAATAACGTGATCTAATGAGCACCCAGTTCAGCGCCTGGGCACCACCGTGCTTTTCTCTATAGGAGTGTTGAGAATTTACAAGAAGATAAAGAAGAAATAAGTACTTACCACATAGGAAAGACATTTACAGGCATGAAAAACGTCTGTGCATCTTTAGTGCACACTCTTCTGTGGGGCTGTACCCTCTGTGTTGCCAAAGCCCCAGATCTAACGAGAAAGGGGCCGCCCAGAGGGTCAGTGCGCCCAGGGCCCCGTCCATAGCTCCCGAGCTGGCATAAGGCATTTCAGAACTTTTGTGGGAGCAGGCTGGGCGCAGGCAAATCGCCCACACATCTGCACTGGACTTACCGCCCCCCTGCCAGTGCTCCCTAACAGCCGTCTTCTAGGAGAAGAGGGGGCGTCGGGTCACAGGGAGAATCTCTCACTCATCAGCCACCCTGTGCTTTCCAGCGATCCCTAGCAAGGGGAGGGGGAGCGGCAGGGCTCCCAGAGCCCCGAAGGTATGGCTGTGAAGGCTCAAATGAATCTTTAATTATGATCTTATTCTTCTGCCTTTGATTCCTCATTGGAGCTCTTAATTCCATCCTCCTTTCAAGGCAGAATGAGTCTGCCAGGTGAAAGGAGGCAAGGTGAAGGGATTAGGGTGACATTTGCTTGAGAGTTTCAAAATAAATTCAGTGTTACTTCTAAAACAATTATAACCATTATCATCATCAAACAAACATGTGTAGGCTTAAGTCTTGCTCTAACAGCACACATAGGTGGGTGGCAGAGATGCGTGCTGCCAGTCGGGGCTATAAAGAGATGCTGGTGTGACCGGGTCTCTCGGGGGTTTGCAGTTACAAACCCAGTTGGACCAAATTCAGGGAAAACCAGCTCCCTTCTGTGACCATATTTAGATCACTGTTCAGCTCAGGGTCCCACGCACAGCACCCTCTTTCCAAGAATTTTCTCAAAAATCCCTATAACGTGTGTGTGTGTGTGTGTGTGTGAGAGAGAGAGAGAGAGAGAGAGAGAGAGAGAGAGAGGTTAGGAATTCCCTTTCCTCATGTGACAGCTGGGGTCTTGGTCCAGGTGGCTAATGACTTGTCCAGGGACACACATGAAATTCATGGCGTGATAATCCTCACGATTAGGGAGTTGCATCAGCTAACCCCGTCTCCACCTCTCTTCCCTTCTGAGCACCCCTGGCTCTTCTAAAGGGGAAGGTAAGTAGGGAGCATGGAATCCTAGGTTTTGTTTACTGTGGCCCACAGCGAGGACCTTTAACAGCAGGATTTCACGCTATTTGGAAAGTATGTAGACATGGTGCTCAGGTATGGAAGACTAGGGCTCCCTACAGGGTAGAAAAAATTATTCATAAAATCAGCTATGTAAATAGTGAAATACACATTTTTAATCTGTTCTATGACAGTGTAAACATGCAAAATTTTCAAGAGATAGCAATTCAAATGAAGAAGAAAACTGTGAGCGCTTTGGTTTAAAAGTGATAATGGCATTTCAACTGCGCCATCTCATGGATAGAACTATCATTTCCGCATCCAAGAAATGTGTGACCCTCCCAAATATTTTAGTCTTGTTGTGCCAAGAGGAAAGCATGTTATTTTGTGGAAAATTAACACACTGTTACCCAGAAGGCCACCCTGAATTTTTATTATTTGCAAAAAAGAAAATCAAACAAACAAAAAACCCCTTATGCCACTGTCCCGCCCCAACTGATCCCGAGTGTTAGGACATCCTTTGGCCAGTCCCAGCATGCACGTGGCTGACCCTGGACCACAGTCCTTGTCTTCCCCACCCCAGGTGAGGGAGAACCAGCCCATTACCTGAAAACGTATGTCCCGCTCGTCCCGAAGGTGCTTGTTCCTTTCCCTGCGGATGACAAAGGGGGATCAACTCAAACAAGGACCTGCGGTGCACACATCCGATAGCAGAGACTTGCCAGTCCCATGGGCGCAGGGCAGCCTTGGTCTGGGAAGCCCAGGGAGTGCGGGAGTCTCTTTCCTTAGGGATGTGCTAAGGGCAGAGGGCAGTTTGTGTGCAAATCAGCTCAGAGGCTGGGGACAGACTGAGGCACGCGCTGACACCTTCAGGATCACGCACGGCCTCTCCTCTCACTAGGGGCACCTACTCCAGAGGGCGGCCAGGAATCCAGCTCTGCCTGTGAACCTGCTGTTGATCTCCCTCTTCCTCCCTCTGAACTGCTCATGCGCACACACGCGGTCACTTCTGAGCACCCACTAGGACCAGGCACTGTCCTAGTGCTCTAGCTGTCATTGTCACACCAATGAGCAAAAAGTCACACCAAAGAACAAAAAGTCCTTGCCCCAGGAGACTTGCCTGTTAGGGGGGGATAATTACTGCTGAGAAAATAAAGCAGGAGAGTGGAGAGCCAGAGTGCCCAGGGGGTTTCAGCCAGAGTGGCTGGGAAGGCCCACTGCTCAGGCAGCATCTGAGCAGGCTTGGAGAGGGAGGAAGGGCCAGGTGCTGGGGGGGCATTTCAGCTAGAGGAGACAGCAAGCGAAAATCCTCGAGTTGGGGCACACCTGGTGTGCGTGAGAAGCAAAGGAGGCAGAAGGGTGCTCAAACGGAAAGCAGGAATGGGGTCAGAGAAAAACTTGGGGGAGGATGAGGACCTAACCCCTCGCATCCTGTGGGCAACCGTACAAACTTAGATTTTTACTCCAAATGAGATACGAAGCCAAGGGGTTGGGGGTGGATGGTGGAGAGGTGCCAAGACCTGTCTCCAGTTTTCAAAGTCCCCTCTAGATGTGGTGCCCAGAACACACAGCTGGGAACAAGGGCGGGCCCCTGAGACTTGAGCGGTATTTTTAGCAACATGGAAGTCATTGGCGACCTGGACAAGAACTGTCTCCATGGAACAGTGGAGAAAAAATCCTGGCTGGAGGGTTGGGAATGTGAGGAAGTGGAGTGGAGACAGTGAGTGTGAACAACCCTTTTGAAGAGTTTTTGCTGTAAAGGGACTGAAGAATTGGAAAGAGGGTGGCAGGGAGGTGAGGACCAGAGATGTCAGACAAGGAACGTTGGAAGATGGCAGAGACATGGGCGCAGACGCCACCTTTTCCTTCCTCACGCTTGGCTCCTGCTTCAGACACAGCCAGGGCCACTCGCCAGAGCGTCCTCCTAGGCCTGTCTGCGCCCCATCTCTGCTGTGGTGGGTGACCTCCCGTGCTCCTGCCAGAGGCCACCCCAGCACCGTTCCCAGCTTGTATTCTAGAAGGAGATCTCGCCCCTCTCGCCTCCTTAGAGAAGGAGCAGCCTGGAGCAGTGCGTGACTCGGGCTGCAGGGCACACTCGAGCAGAAGGGCTGGAGGGCTGGAGTGTCCTCTGCTAACACAAGAGGGGGGGCCAGCTGGCCTCCAAGCGCTTCGCACCGTTGACGCTATGAATCTTGTGGCCGGCGGTCTCTGAACGAACCCACACTGTTGAAGGGGAAGTGGGGGCACAGCTGTGGCACTGACCGCGTGCCGGGCACTGCCGAGAGTGTGGGGCACCGCAGCGATGGACCGTAGGCAGGCCTGAGGGACAGCAGCCTGGCACCTGACCTCCAGTTCCCCTCGTCTTGCAGAAACACCAGGAGCGTGCAGGGCTGTCTTCAGATATTGCAGTGGCAAGCAGGCCCGCACACAGCCAGGGCCTTCAGAGCGAATCAGGAGGGATGTGAAGGACGTTTCACAAGCCCTGAGACAGCAGAGAGAGCTTTCACGCCAGAGGCACCCTCACTTTGTGTGGGCAGTGAGTTAGCAGCCTGGCACCTGGGGGAGGACTTCGGGAGCCCTGGGAAGTCCCACCTTGATTGGAGGGCATGCTGTGCTGCTTCCTGCTTTGTGTGGCCACCTTCAGTACTTAAAGAAATGCTATCATCCTCTTTAATGCATCTGCTTCGGTTCATGCCACTGCCCTGCTGCGATTCCCGTTCACATATATCATCTAATTCTCAACAGAAGGCTGTGAGCTGCGCATGAGAAATTAGGACTTGAACCGGTCAAGTCAACTGCCCACGGTCACATAAGCTACTGTGGGGCAGTGCTGGGTCTTGAACCATATCCAGCTCAAAGCGCAGGTTCCTCACTGAGTGTCCTCAGATTGCTCCCGTTTGCCTGTCTGCGCTAGGATGGCAGCCCTCGCCCCAGGTCACATCCCAGCCACTGTCGTGATCCCACCACCCTCCCCCACTCCTCCCTCCGCATTCCTGCCACCCTCCCCAACCCACCCAGCGCCATCTCCCCTTGATTCCTGGTGGTTTCCCCGTGGAGGGCTGTAGGCACGTGATTCTGCACAAATGCTGGTCTCCATCAAAGAGACCAGCGAGTATTTGTAGACAGCTGCCTTGTCATTCTCCCCTGCTCAGTCTCTTGAATCTGCCCTTTAATTTTGTTCTAAATACAATAGAGAAAAAGAAGGAAAAGACTCAAAAACTTGTCCTTATACATCTTGTTCTCTTCCTTTGACTAAAGCCCTCCTACAAATCAAGACCTTCTCTCCAACGGATGAGCGCGTGGCTGTCTAAGAAGCGCCAGCACCTCCCGGCCTCCGGAGGCCTGCCTGCCCCATGCCTGGAGCTCGGCAGCCTGAAATCACTCAGCTTGAAGCACTTTTCAGTTTGGTAGCATCCTCGATGCCAGGGACAGTGACCTTACCTTGCTTTCACAAAAACGAAAAACCTCATAAGGTCCCTGGGAAATGACTCAAGACCACTTGTCCTTTACAAGCCAGCACCCGCGGTTCTTCTGTCTCACCACCATTCCCCGGGGGAGTTCAGCAGGCAGCAGGCCTGAGCACTCAGACACTTCACAGGCAGAACTGAAAATTCCACCTTTCCCCACACAGCTTTGTTTTTTTTGTTTTTTTGTTTTTTGGCACATTCTGGACCAGCTAACTTTGAATTTGTTGCAGTGAGTTTTAGAAAGCTGAACAAATGCCATTCTTGGCGCTCTGTTTGTGGTTCCTCTACTCACTCAACAAACACGGACAGAATATGGCCAAGTGGAAAGAGCCAGATGCGGGTTTCAATTCTGGCTCCACCAGTGAGTGGCTGTGTCACCGGTGGTGAGTCCCCTCATTTCTCTAGTATCAACTTCCTCATGGGTTAATTACTGCGTGAACAACTGCCCTACTTACTAATGGTTTTCTTGTAGATGAAAGAGACGACATAGGTGGCACAGACTAGACCAGGCGTCCTCAAAATATGACAGGCCACATGCAGGTGCTTTTGTCTGTTTGTTTTTTGACTTCAAAATAAGATATGTGCAGTGTGCATAGGAATTTGTTCATAGTTTTTTTTTAACTATAGTCCGGCCCTCCAACGGTCTGAGGGACAGTGAACTGGCCCCCTGTCTAAAAAGTTTGGGGACCCCTGGACTAGACGCTCAATGACTGCAGTCTCCTCCTGCTTGCGTGACAGCCACACCGTGAGACACACAGCAGGTGAGGCAGAGCCCCGTGAAGGGGCGTGAACTGGAGCGGGAGGTGGCAGCGTGTCAATGACCACGCCCAGCCGAGCGGGCACTCGTGGGCCACACTGCTCGAGGACGGGGGACGAGGCCCCGCTCAGCAGCGGCGGTTCCCAGCGGCAGTGCGCAGGCAGAGACTCTCGACTCGCCCTTCCAACCCCAGGCTCCCGGGATGCGGTGTCCACACGGCCAGCGCCGACCAACGCACCTGAGGAAGTCCAGCTGCTTCAGGAGCCCGGCCTTCTCCCGCTGCAGGCTCTCCGTCACGCGGTACACTTCCCTGGGGGGGAGGCAAGGGAGCGGTCAGCCTCGGGACGGGAGGGGCTGGAGGAACGTGGCTTTCCTCCAGAGAGCACCTGCCGGGCGCAGTGCTTGGAGCTGTCACTTCAGCCATCACAGACACCTGCTTGAGAGGCGGGACTGTCCCCGTGTTACAGACCCTGGAGCCAAAGAAGTCCCTTAACCCTTCCCAGGTCACCCAGACAACCCGTGACCGAGCGGGGTCCTCATCTACACCTCCTGCCACAAACCCTGCTCGTTCCACAGCCACTTGGACTGTTTTCCCAGGGTCGAAACCACCCCGCCCTGCCCAGACTTCTGGGAATCAGAATCGATATTTTTCTCCAGCCGGATCTTAGAGGGGAGAACAGAACCTGCATTACCTTTTTCCATATCACCCTCACCCAGATGCTGGTTCAGTTTGTTTTCAGGAGCTCTGGAAGAATCATTTCCCTCCCCCACTCCTCCCCTGAAGTCCCCAGTCAGTTTGCAGATATCTGGAATTTCCACTGTTGGGCATTCACTTCTTTGACTTAGGATGTTTGCTCTCTGGCTGTAATGCAGAGATAGGATGGATCAATTCGAATCAGTCATTTATATCAGGGTGTGACTATGTCCACTGTACCGCAGTTTGGGGAAGGGGGAGAGAAGCAGAGAGGCGGTGTCCCGGGGTGTCTGGGGCCAACTCGGATAGGGGACAGGGGCTGTACCTGGTTCCTTTACAGCTATGTCCTCAACACAGTGCCTGGCATAGAGGTGCAGTCGGCAAACAGTGGCAGGAAGAATAAAAGATAGGGGGAATAAAAGAGGGAGGAGGAGGGGAGCAGGGGGAAGGGAGGCGGGAAGGGAGGCAGGCCGTGTGCCTAGGGAAGGTCTGTAGCACTACTCAGAGAAGGAATGAAAGGAAAAAAAAGAAAGCAGAATGGAGTGATATTGGGAAACTTGCTTAACTTCACAGTTCTGTCTTGGTCTTTCCATACCATGCTTTAGAAATTTCAAAATCACTCTCCGATCTTACTGTGAAGGGTCCACAGTTCCACATCTCCTAACCACGGCACGGCTTTTGGCGCAGGGAGCACCTTGCAGCCCGATCGGCGCATCGCTGTCTGTCAGGGCCACCTGGCGGTGCACCCCAGGCGGGGCAAGGGCAGCCACCCCCTGCCACTCCAGTGACATCGTTACTGAGCTGTCGAAAACAGCACCAGCATGCTGGGTCCATGGGACTCTCCTGCCAAGCTCCTAATAACCTGATTCCTTAAATGGTATCTGTGTTTCCTTTTTTCCCTCTTCATAGAATAATTGTAAAGACATTTTACAGCAAAAATAGGCTGAATCAAATTCTAAGTCCACCTCAGACAATCCTAATTAAGCAACAAAACTTCTCTGGCTCCTGCAGAGCTGCAGATTCTTAACATTTATTTCCAATTATATTTAATTTCAACTTGAGGGAAAGCAATGTATTTCCCATTATCTAAACCGGGTCCCCAAGCCCCTGTCTCAGACTCTATTCTGACGAGCGCTACGTGAGCAGAGTGGCTGCTCCGACCCTGGGCCCCGCGAGCTGGAGGGCCCTGCGCGGAGCCTCAGACCGCCCCCAGCCCCGCACCCCACTGCCCTCCGGGGGCGGCCCAGAGTGCAGGTTTCCCTCTACTAAGGAAAATCATTTGCTGGGGACCTGTGGTCCAGGTTCTCACACACGTGACTGAGCAACCAGTCCCTACACTCTAGGTCTCCCCTGGCCTTGCCTACACAGCTGACTGTTGGAGCTACACACACACACACACACACACACACACACACACGTATGTATCACAGATGCATGCAAATATGTGCACTGGACCTGTCTGTCCAGTAAATACGTATCTGTCTGGATATTTGCATGTACACACTTACACACATATGTGTATACATTCAGATACATATTTTTATGTCAACAAAAAGAAAGGCATTTCTGTATAAAAACGACACTCGGATATCTGACTAAATGACCTCTATGGTCCTTCTAATCTAGAGGCTCTAACAGTCTAAACATGAGTAACACACAAACTGAAAGTGAAGCACCTGCGTTTCTCTGGAGTGGTGATGGTGAGGTTCACGGTCGCCTTTATAAAGGGAGCTGCTGTTGGCTTTGATTTTAGGGGAGGGACGAGCCGTGGAGCACTCCGCAGGACATTACCATATTGTCAAGTGAGAAATGCGAGGACATGCAGACAGCATGCTTAGTATGCTGCTGTTTTACCAAGGAAAATAGCGTGTGTGCATGTGTGTGTGCTCGTGTATGCAAGCCCATGCACACATGCGTGTGCTCGCGTATACCCAGCATACTCTGGGAGGATCCACAAGAAACCGTGACTGGTGGCTTCTGGGTGGTGAGACTGGAAAAATGCTGGGGAGGCAGACCACTGTTTGAGTATCTATCCTTTTGTCCCTTTTGAATGTTGTGCCTTGTTATATCTACCTACTAAAAATAAAAGTTAATTAAAAAATAGAGAGGTACTGCTTCTCAGCTGACTTTTATCTTTATATTATCTTCTTGATTGATAGTTCTTTCTTCATCTCATTTTAAAATCTAGTTCTCCTACCTTGTGCATCTTCAAAGAACAGAAAAATTAATTTTGCTGTTCAGAATTCTTGCTGATAAATGACTAAGCCTGTTTATCTCGCAGCTGCACCCTTTCCCCTCCCAACTCCTCTGGAGCAGCACGCTGGAGTGAGCATGGCTGGGGAAGCACAGGAAAATCAGAACGAGGCTTCATCCCTGTTTCCTGTCTCTAACTAGCTGTGTGGCTTTGGGCTGTTCGCCACACCTCTCTGAGCTTCAGTTTGTTCATGTACAAAATGAGGGAGGTGGATCAGAGCATTACGGTCCTCCCAGTCCACTGGCCAGCGATTCCCTTCTACAGGGAACAAGCTGGGCTCTTGCTGCACTTCCCTCCTGGCCTCCCTGGGCGGTCCGCACTCTCCTGGCCGGCAGGCTACCCTGCCGGCTCCTGCAGGCTTCCTGAGAGCAAGTCAGCAAGGGTCTGCAGTCATATTTCTCTCTTCCTCCCAACCCGACTCCCTCCCTCTTTTTCAATTCCCAACCTCCAGAGATGTGTGTCTGGCTTGGTTAATTAAGATAAGACTTCAGAGAGCTTTGAATCCTCATGCTGTGATGTGACACTCCAGCACTGGGTGTTTATTTCCATTTGCTGTTCTAATGCTAGTGCCTTCAAATGTTTATTGCTTTTAGAACTTGATTGAATTTTAAGAGCCTGAATCTTTAATTCTGTTTGTAAAGTTAAATGCTGATACCTTGTTGACCTGTTCTCAGTGAAGAGGAACTGATTTTGCTTGTTTACGATGAAATACACTGTCCTTCCACAACTGGTCTTCCAGGAATTGGAATGCAGGGCTTTGTTTTGTTGTAAGTCAGCTACTTGGGAGACTTTTTTTTTTTTTAAGCTGGAGATATCTTACTAGGGTAAAATTCCCAATCCAAACACATTTCCTCCCTTTCACACCAGCCAATCAGTCCTGACCGGCACATGAGCTAGACTGGCAGAACAGGTTTACTTAGCCCCATGACCAAAGTCTGGCCAGTGAGGGACAGATGTGGGTGGAGCTTTCACTGTTGACCAAGGGGAGCTAACAGCTGTCTACATGGAGGGCTGGTGAGTGACAATGCCATTTTCCCTGAAGTCAGACATGCGGTCCTGCCTGGCACCTTTCAGGACCAGACACACGAATACCTTTTGAGAATGATTGAATGAGTGAGTGAGTAAAGAGTGTGTGAATGAATGAGTGAGAGAATGACGGTCAGTTCTGCTCTTGTGAAAATATTTTCTGACTGGCTCATTATTCTCTGGAGAGAGCCAGCAATTTGTGTCTAGCACTTAGCATCTTGGGAGTGAGTTAAACCTCTGAGCCTCGTTTCCTCATCAGTAAATCAGCGCTGATAACGACAGTACCTGCCATATGAGGGTGCTTTAAAGGTCACACGAGAGGATGCTGAATTACTGACATAAGTGAGATACGTTGAACTGTTACACAGCTCTTGTTCTTGCGGAGCTGGGTTGGGTAAGCCTGCCCTCAGCCGTTACAGGGTCAAAGTTCGGTCTCTGCTTCTAGGAACTGTCAGGGCGGCTGGAATGGTCTGGCTCAGCAGAAAGTCTGGGTGTGGGGTGGGGCTGTCTGAGACCCGCAGTCTGGAGCGGCCTCGCTTCTTTCCACCCTCCCAACTCCGCAGCTACTCCTGGGCTCTGCCAGCAGGCCAGACCAACAGCACCAGGCCTCCCCGGACTGTGATGCCAGCGGGAGTTCCTGCACAGGAACGCACTGGTTGGGCGCACGGCCTCCTCCTGGGAGGAGGCTTGCCCTCTAGGACGTTGATCGCCCTGGAGGCACACACACACTCAGTATCTGTTCAATATAACCCTTCTGTGCCTGGGCAATGCTAACCTTGGTGCAGGGGATCTGGTCTGCAGGTCCGACTCTGGGTCCCAGAGTTCAAACTGTATCCCCACCAGGAGAGGATTCCGGTCCCATTCACCCACAGGGAGCCCAAGCGGTCTATGTCTCTCAGCCTCTGAGTCGGCACAGTTCTCTGGGATCACCATGCCAGCAGCACCTGGAGAGGCTGGGGTAGGGAGCTCACAGTCTGAGTTCCACTGAGTCAGCTGTAGGGTCCAAAAGGAAGGTCCCGTTCCCTGGAGGTGCCTCTGGCTGGTGGCTGTATTGTCTCTCTGGCGAGCCGCGGTAGGTCGGCGGAGGGAGGAGGAGGCATATGGCGCCTGCCGCGCGGCTCGGTCTGTGCACACGGAGGTGCCCAGAGGAAGTTGGGAACCTGGTGCCACGTCTGCTACAGGCTCACCGCTGGCTGGCGGCAGCCGTCTCTGGGCTGGTGTCCGCAGGTCTCTCCACCCGCTGGGGAGCCCACCCGCAGTCCCAAATGAAGGGGAGGGGAAACAGCAAATCCACCTACCTTTGCCGCTGGTCTCCGGGCTGCTCCAGTGGTCTCAG